CCGGGGAGCTGACCCACATGGCGCCACAGACCTCTCATATCTCTTTGTTGCTCCCCTCAGTTGTGTACTTCATCCATCTGACTGTTCTGCTCCCCACTCTGTCCTTTCACCACCCTGCACCTCTGGTCTGTACCCCGGTTCTGTATGTATAAATAAATAAATCTTTAAAACAACAGCAGCAACAAACTGTCCCTGGAATGACCTGCATGTGAGGACATTTCTGAATGGTCATGTCTTTAGCTCCAGGACCAGGAGGGAGCATAGTGCCTGTGGTGACGCTCATGGGCATTAAAAGCTGGAATGAGATGCTACTTCACAAATTCCCTTTAGTCCTCACTGCCTCACTGAAGGGGAGGAGGAGGCCTTTTCTTTTATAGACAAGGAAAGAAGGTTCCGAAAAGTGAGAAGTGGCTGCGTGCCTTGCCCTTTCCTCAGGTCTCCTCTGCGAGTTAGAGGGCCGCACCAGCAGTTTCCTGACCTAACACCTCTCCAGGCCTGAGGTTGAGCTGTGCATCCCTGCACCTTGCCTGACTCCAGGGCACAGGGAAAGAACTGGCCGGCCAGGCTGCCAGGGGCCAGGGTCTGCCTGCTTCAAGTCTTGGCTTTTGTCCTTTCCTTAGAGAAAGGTGAGGAAAACTAGCAACAGACAACACACATTTCCATGGGGGCAAAAGCCCAGAGACTCTGAAGTGAGTGGAAGCTGGGAAAGCAGTGAGCAGGGGAGGAGTCCACTCCAGAGGAAGCAGGAGGGCCCAGCTTGGAAGGGGAAGGCCAGCAGGTGAGGCCTGGGTTCGGGAACGCAAGTCCTGACCAGCTCCTGGAGGTATCCTCAGAGAGACCTTTCTTACTTCCCACCTACTCATTTCCTTGGTCCCAGTGTTCTTTCTGAAACCCTACTCCTCCAAGCCAGGGCCGAGCCCCCTAGGCCCCCTCTTGTTCTTCCCCTCCCCTGTCCTTCCTGGGATCGTGCTCTGCCAGATCTCAGAGTGCTCCCTGGGTGCCTCCTGGTTTTAAAGCAAACTTTGGGGAGCAGGTGGGTTCTTGCAGTCCTGGGGACTTGGCCTCTGCTGGCTGGAATGTTCCCTCACAGTCCCTCCCTTTTCTCCTCACTTTCACTCTGACCTTGTCGGAGGAGAAAGCAGGTACAAGACCAAAGGCCAGGTGCTCTGCCTTGTGTCCTTTACACAGGCCCCCCCCAATCAGGAGGCCTGGGTAGCCAGGGTCACATGTGGTAAGGCCAAGGCTTCAGGGCCCTAACTCTGCTCTCTGCAAGGTCCTATTCTGTTTACAGCAAACACAGTGGGGGTAGGGGGCAGGGAGCTGGGGCTGTCCTGTGTACAGTGACAACAGGGGCTGAGTATGAGGAGGAAGCCCTCCCCCCGAGACTGTATTTGTCCATACACAGAGCCGGCCCCATTCGCCCAGGCAGAGGAAGAGCAGAGACACCAGCCCCACTGCTGCACCTCCTCTCTTGAGCCTCCCCCACAGAACTCCTCCCACAGGGCCTCCCCCTCAGTTGTTTCCACAGCAAGCTCAGCTCTGTTCTGTAAACTGCAGTGTCCTAACCAGGCAGCCCCCAGAGAAAGGACAGGTGTCCTGCCATGCCAGCACGTGTGTGTGAGTAGCTGCCCATCCCTGACCCTTCAAGTTCATGATTGGTGGGAAGCCCTGGGGACACCATTTCTTGACACCATCCCTCCCAGCTTGCCTAGTAGACCCCAAGGTTCAGAGCCCTGGGTGCTCAGCCAATAAGAGGCACCGGGCCTTGCCCCACCCTTCTTGGGGTAGGAGTCTGTGTATAAAGGCTGAGGCCAGTGGTGGCCCGATGCGTCCAGCCCAAGTGGGTGCAAAGCTCTGCCACCCACGCCGTGGGCTCTGCTCCCCGTCAGAGATGCTGTTTTGGCATAACCAGCCAGAGCACCTGTGGCCGGGTCCTGCAGAACTATGCCCCGGGCCTCCAAGCAGCCTGCTCAGGTAAGGGCCACATCCCTTCCCCCTGGCCTTCCCAAGGAGGCCCTCATCTGAGTTAGGGTGGGCCAGGCAGGGTCACGTTTCAAGCCAAAGGGGGTGGCTGCACTGTTCTTGGCTTTGGGAGAGGGGAAGCGGCAAACTCTGCCAGGGGTTTGGTGGGCCCTGGGAATTCATGCAGGACATTTTGGGGGCCATTTATTGGGTATCAGGCAAGCCCAGCAATGAGTAGTTGCTGGTGAATACAGGTAGTATCTGGAGCTTGCACCTTAAGAGTGGTCTCCTCTTAAGGCCTGGAGGCCAGAGAACTGAATGAGAGCCCCTGAGGCCCTAGATACTGCTGGGGTACCTGCTCTGGAGACGGGGTACCTGCTCTGGAGACAGGTTCCCTGGAGGTGGATCTGCTTAGGGTCAGAGCTCCTTAGGGGAGGGGTGGATGGACGGAAGCCAGAGTGCTTTTCTTTCCCCACCAGGGAGTCCCTGCCCTCGCCCTACCTGAAGCAGGAAGAGCCCCACACTGTGCTCAGCCGGGAGCCGCCCTGCCCCTCCTTCCAGTATGTGCTCTGTGCAGCCACCTCCCCGGCAGTGAGGCAGCAGGAGGAGAGCCTCACCTACCTGAACCAGGGTACGCTGGGCCAGGGAAAGGGGGGGCCTCTGGCAGCGAGCTCACACCCTCTAATCCCGCCTAGGCCAGTCCTATGAGGTTCGGATGCTCTGCAACCTCAAGCTGGGCGACACCTCCCAGTGCCCCCAACTGCTGAAGGTAGGTGCAGGCCTCCCAGACCCGCAGGGGCGGGTTTAACTGTCCTTTGCATGGAAGCCCAGGCCGTCACTGTGAAGTCATCGTCGAGTAACACCCTCTCAAGTCCCTCCTTTAACCTGACCTTCACAAGAGCTCAGGGGTGGGCAGGACTGTCGATGAAACAGGCACAGAGAGAGGGAAAAAAAAAGACGAGAAAAAGAAATGGGCAGAAAGAGGTTCAGTGTTTTCTCATGGACACAGAGCCAGTAAGTAGCGGAGCTGGGATTTAGAAAGGTATTTACATAGCATCATTCACACACATGATTCTTTGTCTCCAAAAAATTGCTTATTTGGCTGCCATCCTTTTCTAGAAGTTGTTCTACAAACTAGGAATTCAGCTGCAAAGAGACAGATGCAGTCCTGTCTCAGGGGCTTGCATGCTACTGAGACAAACACATAACTGTACAGATTATATGCAGTGACAGACTAACTTACAAGGGCCCTCCCTGGTGGTGCCAGGGGTTAAGTCTCAGCACTATCCAGCTACCTACAGCCACTGCAGCAGGAGTTCGATCCCAGGCCAGGGAGCTGACCCACAGGGCACAGCAGACCTCTCCTGTCTCACCTGCTGCTCCCCCCTCAGCAGGGTATTTCAGTAGATCCGGCTGTCTGCTCCCTGCTGTCTCTGGTGAATCCTCTCGCCCCCTGCGAGAGGATTAATGCATAAATAGATAATGCATAAATAGATAAATCTTGACTAACAAAACAAGAAACTGACCTACAGATTGGTAAGTGCTGCAAAGAAAAGAAAGGAAAAGCTTGGAATGACCAAAAAATGGGGGGGATAACTGTCCCATTTTTCAGTTGAAAAGCTTGGCTTCAGGCTTTCTAGGTTAGTCCCCAGGGTCACAGTTTAGGAATGGCAGATGGGCATCTGGAGCCCTGACTAGTGCGTCTCTGTCCTTGCGCCCCCTGGTGGTGGGCCACGCGGGTGGGGGGCGAAGCCTACCTGTGGGACCTGGTTCCCGAGCCCGTACTGTGCCGGTGCAGAGCGTGGCCCGCGTGGTCTTCCATGATCGGCGCCTGCAGTGCATGGAGCAGCTGCAGCTGGACGGGTGGAGGTGGAGCCGGCCTGGGGACCGCATCCTGGACATCGGTGAGTGTGGCGGGACCAGGGACCCTTGGGGACACTCTGGCAAGGACGGAGGAACTTTGCTCTTGTACCTGCAGATGTGCCGCTGTCTGTAGGGGTGCTCGACCCCCAAGTGCTGCCCTCACATCTAAACGCGGTGGAGTTTCACTGGGACCCCTCGAAGAGGACCTCCCTCTTCCTGCAGGCGAGTCTGGCGCTGGGGCTGCAGAGGGTCAGAGCCCGTGGCACCATCTAAGTGGGAAGGAGAGTGAGTTTGGGTGGGAGGGACAAAGAATCACTTCTTTCTTTCTTTTTTAAAGATTTATTTTTGCTTATGCATACAAGAACTAGGGTGTAAGCCCGAGATGCAGGAGGTCGGGGGAGGGGAGACAGGATTCTCCAGAGACAGCGTGGGGAGCAGAACAGGTAGATCCAATGAAACACACTGCTGAGTGGGAGACAGGAGAGGTCTACTGTGCCATGTGGGTCAGCTCCAGGGCTGGGGATCAGACTCAGGCTGTGGAGGTGATGGCACTGAGACTTAACTCCACTAAGAGGCCCAAGAATAAATTATTTCCAGAAAAGACCTTGAGGAAAAAATATGGATAAACAGTTTATCAAACCTCAACTAGTTAGACAGTAAAGCAAGGGAAGAAAGTATTAGATGCAGGGTAGAGCTTAGCTTCATAAAAACCACTGGTTTGCACTGAAAATTTTTTTTATTATTTTCTATTTTTAAGGTGTGTTTTTTTATGCAGACAGAACTGGGGTACAGGCTGGAGGTGCAGGGGTGGTGAGGGGATTCACCAGAAACAGAGTGGGGAGCAGAAGAGGAAGAATGACTGAAATACACTGCTGAGAGGAGCAGTGGGGAGACAGGAGAGGTCTGCTGTGCCATGTGGGTCACCTCTGGGGACAGGGATCGAACTCATGCTGAGGCAACTGTGGCTAGCTGTGTAGTGCTGTGCTTTAACCCAGTGCTTGCGCCACCAGGGAGGGCCCCTGCAGAGAGATGAAAAGGAGAAGTCAAATGGGAAAAACAGTTGCCACATATGATATAATATGTGTCATATCCTTGACACATAGAACAAGTTCTTGTATTTCAATTAGAAAAAATAGATGAAAGTGCAATAGAAAATCAGCAAATGGTATACGTAGACCATTTATATAAGGATTCAATTGCCTATAAATGTAAATAGTTCAGCTTCATAAAATGCAAATGATAAATGTATATATGTATATAACTGGCAAAGGCTTAAAAAATATTATTGGCAAGGTGTAGAGAAACAGACATCCTGTAGCCGGAGAATGCAAATTGGCACCCCCACTCTGTAGAATGGTGGGACTTGGGCAATATGTATCACATTAATTTTCACAGTCTTTTTTGCAATGGTTCTACTTCAAGAAATTTGTCCAAGACTTTGGGCTTTGTGTTCAGTAAGCACACAGTTATATATTTATCAGCACTTCCATGGAAGTATTCCTTTTTCTGTTAAAAGATTTTAACCAATCAAAATACTATCTGACAAGGACTGACTCCCCCCCCCCCTTGGCTGCCTTTTTTTTTTTTTTAAACATAAGTTTATTTTTACATCATTTTGTACATTTTTTTTTCCCATCACGATTGTAGGACTGACTTTTAAATAATTTTTTTCGGGCTCTCCTGATGCAACAGGTTAAAGCACCCACTGTGAAGCTCTCAGACCTCTCCTGACCAGCCCGCTGCTCCCCTCAGCAGTGTATTTCAGTACATCTGCCTGTTCTGCTCCCTACCTTGTCTCTGGTGCCTCCTTTCACCTACCACACCTCTGGCCTGTACCCCAGTTCTGTAAGCATAAATAAATAAAATCTTTAAAAAATATTTTTTCTAAAAGATTACCTATTTATGCATAGCAGAACTAGGCTGCAAGCCAGAGTTGGGTGGGATGGGTGAGGACCCACCAGAGACAGAGTGGGGAGCAGAACAGCTGGCCACAGCTCAGCGGTACTGAGACTTAACCCCTAAACCACCATGGAGGCCCACTTTTAAACAAGTTTTGGTGCAGGCTTATACTGCTATGGAAATTATGTAGCCATTACATGTCTTTGAGAAATGTTCAATGACAGGAGAAATGGTTGACCGAGAAGAAAAGACAGAATACACAAGTGTATTTAAACTTCTATTTCGGTTTTATACAAATTAAAGTGGGTGTCAGATTAAAGTACAATGTGAAAATTATAGTGATGCACAAGTTGCTTCCTTCCAACTCCCTTTTCCTTACCCAGAGAACAGAAGATACAATTCTTGAATGTTGACTGTCTCTGTGAGGTGCGCCATGTGGATGCCTGTATTATTCCTTCCATTTTTTTCAGTGTTCACGTTTTTGTATTGAGTACACTTCCATTTATAATAAAACATTATCAAAAGTTACCTTTATGTCCTTTATTTGATTGCCCACTGTGGTCTAAGCAAGCGACAGATGTGACCTGGTTTCAGTTTCACCACTTTCTAGAGGGGTCTTGCCTACCTGTAAGTCACCCCTTCACAGGAGGGTGACTGGGGGAGTCCCATAGTAGGCAGTGGGTGAGAGCGGAGGGGGAGATCCTGCCTGCCCAGGGGAGGGTCCCGCTGCTAGGTAGAATACAGAGGCTGGAGGTCATGTGAGATGCAGGATAGGAGGGCTTCTGGAGTAGACTGTCAGAGTTAGCAAAAACAGAACATGCAGTTCAATTTAAAATTCAGATAGATAACTTTTTTAGTGTAAGTTTGCCTCCCAAAATACTTGGGGAATTCTTATACTAAAACCTTATTTCTAGTTTACCTGACATTCAAACTTAACTGGGTGTCCGGTGTTCTAACTGACAAGCCTACCCTGGAAGCACATGTGTGTTCAGACGTGAGCACAGGGCGCTGTCCAGGAGGAGATCCCAGGGAGAACTCTGCTGCTGGTAGTGGTGGGGGGTCCTAGTTATGCTGGTGGGCAGAAGCCGCCTGTCGGGAACATGCAACCTGATGCTTTGCAGAGCTAAAGGCCAGGGTCAGGGGCTTTGCTTCTCTTCTTCTAAACATGGGGAGCCACTGAAGGGTTGCGAACGAGGGAAGGGACCTAACAAAGTGACATATTAATGGTACATACTGGGGGTCCTCCCTGGTGGTACGACAGGTTCAAGCGCAGCATTATGAAGCTACTGGCAGCATGAGTCTGAGCAGCCAGGGAGGTGATCACATGGGGTGACCGGCCTCTCCTGTTTCTCCTGTCGCGCCCTTGAGCACTGTATTTCAGTCCATCTGCCCGTTCTGCTCCCTGCTCTGTCTCTGGTGAATCCTCTCAATCCCCACATCTTTGGCTTGTGCCCCAGTTTTTGTATGCATAAGTAAATAAATCTTTGTAAAAAAATAAATAAATCTTAAAAAAAAAAAAAACCACAAAATGAGTACATACTGGCTGGAGATGGAAGTTGCTGTGGAAAAGAGGTGGGCAGGTAACAGGGGTTAGGTGGAATCCCTTGAATGTGGGTAGGCCTTGCAGTCACCCAGCCTTCACTTTTCTTCACCTCAGGTTCACTGCATCAGCACTGAGTTCACTCCTCGGAAAAAAGGTGGAGAGAAAGGTGTCCCTTTCCGCCTTCAGATGGACACGTTCAAGCCCAGTGACAAGGAGCTTCCTCCCGAACACCTGCACTCGGCTGGCTGCCTCATCAAGGTGTTCAAGGTGCAGACAGCCCCTTCCCTCCCTCCCAGGGCCCTCGCCCTGCCTTGCTTGTGTAGAGTCTGGCCCTGCTTTGCTGGGGACCCTAAGCCTGAGGTACCCCATCTCTGGGACTCTTTCTCTGTACACAAAGGGATGGAGCTCCATCTTTCTTAGAGCCCCTTCAGTAAGAAGTGGGAAGGAGAAGAGGGACCTCTGAGGTTTCCTTGTCACCCTGTAGCCCAAGGGAGCTGACCGGAAGCTGAAGACAGACCGGGAGAAGATTGAGAAACAGCCCCTGCACGAGAGAGACAAGTATCAGATTGCCTGTGACAGCACCGTCTTCACGGAGGTGAGTTCGCGGTAGCGGGCAGGAGCGAGGCTCAGAGAAAAGCTGCTCATTGTACAGAGGCCGCAGGGCTGCGACCCCCAGAATCATCAGTCCCCAGTTTCCTGCAGGGACTCAGGGCTGGTTGTTAGCCTCTGACTCTGCTCAGGAGCAGGGCCTCCGGGGCCCTCTCCTGGGGCCCGCCAAGCCGCGCGGCCTCACTGCCGCCCTCTGCCCAGAGCACCCCTTGCTGCTGCTGCTCCATGCTGGCTCTTCCAGGAAGCCCCCCAGCCACACCAGGCCCTGTGCTCGCTGCCTTGTCTGTGTGACTTGGCCTGCTTGGCAGGGACTCTTCTAGGGCAGGGACATGCCCAGCCCAGGATGGCAGCGGGAGGTGAGCACCACTGCCCTCCGGGTCCAGGCCGGCTGGCTGGACCTGTGCTGTTTGCCCGCAGTGCTCAACGTGGCCGGAGCCCAGCGCAGGCTCCCACGCAGCTCTAAGTCCTCGAGCTCTGAGGGCTCCATACTCCTGTGGGCGCCTGTCTTCGGAGAGGTGAGCCCTGTCCTGCAGGCCCGTTGCCGCCTCACTCCGGCACGGGGGAGGGTGGGCTAAGAGCTGGCTGCCTTGGGGACAAGGCCTGTGCCTTTTGGGGAATACCTGGGCTGGCACAGCTCAGCGTGGCAGGCCTGATTGTGTTGACCTTGACTGTCCCTCCCACCCCCTCCCAGGCTGGGCTCCTCACCCCTGTTTGCTTTACACACCTGGGGCAGCAGTGCAGCTGAGGTGAGTCTTTCCTTCCCCCCAACCTCGGTCCCCAAAGCCTTTTCAGCAGCTAGAGTGCTCTCAGGTATAGGGTAGGGTGGCCCTGCCCCCTGGTGGACAGACGCAGCCATGCCTGCTAGAACTATACATTTCCCATGGACAAAGCACCCCTCTCAGACTGAAGTCCCCCCAGAGTATGGGCTGGTTCCCTTCCCACTTGCTCTCAGCCCATGATGTCTTCTGGAACGCCCTCGTTATGCATCAGGATTTGAACCCTGGAGCCTCCATCCTAGAGACCCAGCAGTGGTTGTGCCGGCACCGGTTCTCCAGCTACTGCCGGATTCTGGCCAACTTTGCAGGTGAGGCTGGGGACTGGCAGGGACCAGACTTACAGGGGACTGAAGGCCGGGTTCTCAGGAGGGAAGCCGGTCTCTGTCCTGGCTTGCTCTGTGCCCTTCACCTAACTTCTATTTAGTTGTTGGGCACCATTTTTGCTAGGCTCACTTCTTGTGTACTGTTCCTTATAATTTATACCCTGCCCCTTTAGGACACAGAGAGGTTAGGTAACTTGCCCCAGGTCACACAGCTTGCAAGTGGCACAGCTGGGATTCGCACCCAAGTCTGACTTCCATGTCCGGATGACACACTAGGGCTATCTGTAGACTGATGTTGGACTCTGTCCCTTGCCACCCTGGTTACCAGGCCCCTTTTCTCAGTCTGGCCCTGTCCAACTCTGCAGGCACCAATCTGCTGAAGCTGACCCGGCAGGACCTCATCCAGATGTGCGGGGCTGCGGATGGGATACGCCTTTTCAATACGCTTAGAGTCAGGTGCTGGGCTCAGTTGACCACAGTCCCCTTCCTGCTGCTGGGGCACCAATTCAGCCAGGAGTCATGTGTCAGTGTTCAAGCAGCAGGCACCTTAAAGACCACTATCCCAGTCCCGTTTCCTAGAGGGAGAGACCAGGTCCAGGGGCAGAGACCTACCTGAGACCACAGAGAACGCCTGGTAGAGCTGGGGTAGAAAGTTAGGCCACTCTCACCTCTTCTTCCTGCAACCATCCCATCAGCTTTGCTCACCTTGTGGGGACACAGAGGCGTTCTTCTCATCTCTTCTCCCAGTGTTCAACATTCACCAACTGCCTGAGAAAGGCTTGATGACCTTTTCTAGAGACCCAGGAGGAGAGTATCTTCCAGGTGGGGCTCACGCTAGAGCTGCTAGCTCAGGTAAGGAAGGGTCCACATATGAACTGTTCTCCTGGCCTAGGCCCATCCGGCACCGGCTGACTTTATATGTGACTCAGGAGGCCTCTGGGCAAGAGAACCCTGACTCAGGTGAGGTTTTGAACCCTCTCCTCAGATAAGAAATTCAGGTGTGGTTGCAAGAAGCCTCTTCTGGCCTGGGGAGAGGGTGGTACGCCTCAATTCCTGGACTCCAAATGCCCGCCACGGTGTTGTGTCTTACATGACTAGATTAGTCCTCTCTCCTTCCACCACATTCTGCTCCCTAACTCCATCTGCTTGCAATAATTTTATTGGTATGTGGCATTTGTATTTGAATTTCCATCATCAGAATCCCATCTCCTTTTTAAACTGGGGGCTCCCCTCAATCTGAAGCTTCCTTGCCCACAGGTGAGGAATGAGGTTAAAACTAAGTAGAATTAGAAAGCTTTTACTTTCTTTCCTCCTCTCCCCACGTTGACCCTGCCCATGAGGCTGTCCCGTTGCACCCCATTGAACTCTACCTCTGTGATGCCTCCACTCCCAGGCCTTTATCAAGAAATCTCTCTGGATGAGCTCAGTGCTGGGGAGCTGATGGGAAAACTGGCAGAGCTCTTGGCCCTCCCAGTCAATCAGATTCACCGCCTCTTTCACCAGGGACCTGGAGGCATCCTCATCCTCCTCAGTGACCAGGTAAATGGGTAGCACCCTCCAAGTCCCCAATTATTCTTCTGCCTCAGGTCAGTCCCCTCTTTGCTGCTAGTTTGCTTGGCTCTAAAAACAGAACTGTCTCCTTGATCTTCCTTCTTGCAGGTGGTTCAGAATCTTAAGGATGAGTCATACTTCATGATTGTGGTAAAAAAAGGTAGGGGTTTCAGAAGGGGAGTGTCTGGCAGGCCCTCATAAATAAGGACAGGAGATGCTTATATTGTCTCCTTTCTAAAGGAGATCAAAAGGTTCCTTGAAGGGGTGTGTACAGTGTAGGTGGGTATCCCAAACCAAGTGGCAAACATCTGCAGAATGCCAGCTTTGTGTCAAAGTGAAGATTCCTAAAGCCAAGACTGTTATTTCTTGCTCATGAAAAAGGTGACCAAGTAAAAGCATATTCTCATGTGGGAAAAGGGCCCCAATTTCTATTTAAGGGTGCTTACTAGGGGGACAAGTAAGATGGTTCTGGGTGTTTGGACACATGTCCCCTAACACCCATTTCTCCCACCATGCCAGCGAGGCCTCCTAAAGAGGTGGCTTTGAAGTGTGGTTAGGAGAACGCTCAGTGTGGTGGTGCATCACAGGCTGTGTAGCCCAGGAGCTGCAGAGCAGTGGGGGGTGGGGGGCCTGCCTCAGGCCAAAGGTGCCTGCCTTACCCCCTACTTTTACTGCTTTCAGTGCAGAATCCAGATGGGTACTACCTGGTTCTGACCTAGGTCCAGGGGCACCCCGCTGCAAGACTGATGCCAACCTGATTCTGGGAGGTCCTGTGTTTACCCGAGGCTTCACCAAGCTCAGGTGGTACCTAACCATCACATGTTAAGTGTGGGGGGACACAAACAGACTCGACTCTTCCATCTCGGCCTGATGGTTGTCAGTGAGGACAGCACCTCTCAAGCCAAGCGGGTGTGGCAAAACCCTCAACAGTAGGGGCAGAGCTGCCGCCCTGTGCACCGCTGAACACTGAGGGCATTTACTCATGGCTGCTTAAAATTGCATTCACCCTTCTCTTTGTAAATTAAAAGGTAATCTTTTAAATCTAAAAGGCATTATTTTCTAATGTTGTTCAATTTCCTTAATTTTACAGTCCTCTTGGGGGAAGTGTCCTCTGTTTAAATTACAGGCTAGGGCAAAGGGTGGAGTTTAGGATGAAATAAACAAACCTGGCAGTATTGGTTTCACAATTAGTTTGGATGAAACCAGACCACTGAAGCCTCCAAAACATCAACTATCAAACCATTGCCACTTATTTAAAAATTTGTATCTAGAGATTTGGAACATACTGTATTCTAGAACACTAGGTTTTCTTTTATGGGACTTTCAAATGTGGTTCAACATATCATTATATATCACTATATTAAGGTCATTAATGTAACTCCCTATCCATAGTTTTCACAGTGTAAATTCTGCTTTTTACTTAGCCTGTAACCCACTTGAAACTGACTTGTGTATCTTGTCAGATAACGGATTTAGCTCTCCACGTGCTTGAAAAAGTGATATAGGGGTCATGTCTTATTTTGCTTTTCTCATCCGCTTTCCTGAAAATTTTATGAAAAATCTCAAACATAGCAAAAAGAGAAAGCCATATATGTATGGGAGTGTAAGACAGATCCAAGTGCCCATCTACCATCACCTCCTTACTTATTAATCATGTCCTTCAGATATTTACCGATTATCTTTGATGTATCTTAAACCAGGTGGCCTCTGGCTAGGGATTACAGCAAAAAGGTGCAAAACAGACTGATTAAAGATGGATGGGAAGGAGGTCTGCTTACCCCATGACGTTCTGGAGAACTATTGAGAAAGTGCCTCCCTCCAAGTCCAGCACTGACCCAAAACAGACACCCGAGCAAGTACCTGCTTGCATCCCTGGAGGGGCTGTGCTGGCCCCAGGCCTTTGCCTCACGCAGGATGAGTGGATTTCAAGCGTGGCCTAGTACTGCACAGTTCCCTAGTGGTGTTCACAGCAGGGCAGTTTTCCTTCTAGACTGCTGTCTTGGCACTGCTCATCTCCATCAGGACAGTGACCCCATCGCATTAATTTCTGCATATTTCTCAACTTAGTGTCAACACTGACCAGGTAGTAAAATGTTGAGCTCCAAGTCAGGGTATTTCCCCAGCAAAATAAAAAGTCTTCACAGCTTATTTCCTTTAATTACATCATAAAACAAAATTAGAACATACAGAAAACAATAATAGTTACATAACATTTACTTTATATATTTATATATAAAAAACATTTTTTTTTTAGTCCAAAGATCTTAAAGCAAAAGGAATCCTCTACTGCCACCTGGATTTTATTTAAATAACCCACCCCCCCACCCTCAAGCGCCAAAGGTATTGGATGGAAAACACAGTCACTTGGATAGCTAATGGAACCTGGTGTTAGTCACCATGCAGGAAACTGTGCTGGCCCCAGGCACTGGCGGGGCTGAGCACGGGAGCAGGCCTGGTGGAGAAACTAGTAAGCAGCAGCTCCCATGTGGACAAGCCGAATGGCTGGCAAAGGTTTAAGCCAGACAGCGGTGTTTGGGACCACGCCCCACCAAACATTCTGCATTTTACCCCCTCACAGGAGTGGGGCGATGGTGGGTGTGGGGGAACAGGGATGAAACGGCCTGGTTTAAAGATAAAAATTTCTCCCACAGCACCATTTACCCATCCATCTCTGTCCCCAAACAGAGTCTGACAGGCAGGGGTAGTCCTCACAGTTCTCTGAGCTCTGCACAGGCCTCTCTCTCAGGTCTGTGCTCTCAGGGTCACTGGAAGGTGGGCAAAGGTGAGAGCAGTTGGGAAATGTCCAGCACAGGTTACCTGGAAACAAGTCCTGGGAGGAAAGAGGCAGCGGCCAGATGCGAGGAAATCTCAGGAGCGGAGAAAGGCAGAATTAAGGCCCTTCCCCCCGGTAACACTGTGAGCTGGGCTGTCACAGATCCTCAGGGGCAGCTCAGAGAGCTGTGGCATGGTGAGAAAAAAACACAAGCAGCTTCTGATGAGTTCTGTCCCATGGATCTTGTACATGTGCCAACAGGCTCTAAAAGTTAGAGGTTAGTGTGTAATTTGGGGCTAGGATGAGGAGGAGAGCAAGAGAAGAAATCTCAAGCTCACCTCTTCCTGCACATATTAGAAATTAACAGTCATCAGAGAAGCACAGATAAAATTATTCTAAGGGAAGGAAAAAACTGATGTAAACCCAGGAAAGTAGCAGCAAAGGTTTCACTTATTAGAGATCTATTTTATAGCACTAAGGAAAGAAAATCATTCAAATCTTTAGGGGAAAAACAGTAAAGTTAGTCAGACCACATGGGCCAGTGAAACGTCTTTCAAGTTAGTTTTTTAAGACTTTCGGTTTTCATTCTCTAGTGCCATAAAAAAATAATAAAATAGTGGCTTCAGGGCTGAGGGGAATTAGGCAAAGATAAGAAATGTGTATGAGAGTAGCAGGGTGGCACAGATCTGAATTTCTAAGAAAGTGACAAGAGAATCTTAGTAGGGGGTAAAGTCTCCTTCCATGTCATAGATTTATCTGGGTTCTTAAGAGAATGGCAGGGGAAACAAATGTGTTTGGACACTTCTCTTCTTCACCTCTCCTTGAGGGGGGATTTTCATCTATTACCTACCACTCTTGTCCTGGTGAAAGCTATACCCAAAAGAAGCTGGTCTGTCAGGAAAGTGGGATTCCTCCATGCCGGGAAGATGATCATGGAGCTTATCAGGTGGAGAGAAAAGTGGATCTGGCAGTGGCCATCTCCATATATGCAGGACAGAAACATGTACCCATGGGGAAGTTCCCCAGGTTTCAAACACTCTGTTTAGAATCCCACCTACCACATCCTACCCAATTCTTCGAAACGAGACTCCAAAAAATACAGAAAACAGAAAGGGTCAATGGAAGGAGTTTAGTTGTTCACTGTTTCCCCCTCCTGCGCCCCCCCTCCCCCCGGCTAAAGGGGCAGTATATCACCCTGACGAGGCACTGAGATGCAATACCATGAGCCAAGCTCCACCAAGGGACTCCTTGAAGCCACACAGGGCAGAGACAAGAGGTGTCCTATGGAACTCTCTGAACACCCCACAGGTGGAGAAATCTGACATTTTTCTTTGCAGAACAGTGTCACGCGCTTGGGTGCTAAAGGTCGGCTCAGACTCAGCTGAGAGGTTTTTTGAGTTTCCTAAGGATCAAGGCTTCAGAAATACAGAACTGACACTCCTGAAAATGGACAAAACAGGCAGACATGCCTTGCGGGGGAGTTGGGGAAGCCTGTAAGGACACTCACTCGTCTCAAATGGCAGTTTCTGGCAGGCATCAAGTTTGCCTCAAGTGAGAGGGCTGCGTTAAGAGCAGCACGTTCTTTATTGGAGAATCAAGAATGAAATGAGGGCACCCAGCAGATATAGCCAAATGCTATCCCCAAATTACCCAGGTTAATTATACCCTAACAACATGGTCTTTCATGGCCTTTTCACCTTCCAATCTTCCAATTAAAGTTTATGAGAAAGATGGAGAGACTGGGACTCCAAATTTCACTCCACCCTTTTACTGATTTTTACTCATTTGGTCCAAGATCATCCCACACCTCTTCTCAAACAAATCCTAGCTAATTCACACTGCCTGGGCTTGAGGTGGTTAAAGATCCTAGGGTCTGGTGGGTAGAGAGAAGGCTATCTTGTTATGATACGTTCCGAAAGCTCAAAGCTTACCACTGAATCCATCAGCCAGGATGCAGGAGGAAGAGAAATCTAACCTTAAATTAGGCACATAAGGAGGGAAAGTGAAAATTGACAGCCTCCTCTAACCCCCCCTTCCATGGGCAGTGACCGCTAGGAAGCAGCAGTGGCCGTGACCCAAGCAGTGTGTCGCACTTGAGGGCTGCCATGACCCCAGCGTTCTTCCTTTCCAAACGAACCCGAGGAAATGCTGCCTCACAGGAAGCCACCCTCTTCTTTCCAACAACACCCACGTTTCCTAAAGACTTCAAACGAAGCCAGGTCCCACCACACACTTTGTGCAGCCCCCCACTCTGCCAGCTCTGGTGGGCATCAAGCTAGTAACATTGCATTTCACAAGGCAACTAGAGGAAATGAAAAGAACCTGACTGCGACAGCATCAGTTATACTTAACTGTTTAAAAAAGTTTGGAAAGCCCAGAATAAAACATCATGGAAAATATTTAGCAGGGTTTTCTCTAATAAATGCTGTGCTATAAGAAATACACAAAACTTCTGACTACGTGTCTGCTAAATCAACTTAATGAGTGTGGAAATCAGACTGGAGATTTACAGAAACCATTTAAAGAATATTTTTACATTCACTACAACACTACGAGAAAACATTTTTTACGTAAAACTAAATGTGCTTTCATATCCTAAATACTGGAGAGAAAAAGCTAAAGCCAGATCCCTTTACTTCTCATACCAAACATGTAGAGGTCAAAATAAATTCTACTTCAGTAAGCATCAAGGACCACCCAATAAAAAATGGCCCGAGTCACATGGCAGGGAATTCAAGGCTGCCCAGGGTAGCTTGCCTAGATCAGGACAAGGACCCAAAGAAGAAGCTGGACCAGGACCTTAAGGAAATCAGCAGCATCTCTGGGAGGGAGGCAGAGGCTTTAGAAAAGGTCAAGGACAGGTATGTGAAGGGAATGGGAGCAGTGAAGGAAAAAAAAACCAAAACCAAAACCAAAACCAAGCTAGAATACCTTGGTGGGGCCAATACAGAAGATGTTAAAGATACTGATGTCGCAACACTCTTTTCATAAGGAGAGTTTTTCCTACACCCATGAAGCCTTTCTGAATTTTCCAACATGTGTGTGTGATGGTGACAGAGAAGTATTATGTTCAGAGACAGGACCTTTTCAACCTGACCAAAAACTTACCATGTTTTGAGTTCTCAAAGTCCCGGTACATTCATTATCTGGAGCAGTTTTCTGGAGAAACAAACAAGACTCCTACCCGCTCCCCAACCCCCACCCCCGCCTGCAGGCCAGCCCTGCATACTCCCAGACCTTTATCCTTTATTCTCTTGACTCCAAGTCCACAGGACCTGTGTGCGGGTTCACTGTCTGAGCAGAGAAGCAGCATTTCCAAAACATCCGTGTACTGGCGAATAGGGCTTTTTACATTTTGTCATGTGTATGTATGTAAAGAAGTATCTTAATAGCTTCGATTGCAGAGTAATTCTCATCAATACCCAATATTATTAGTCAGGATTTTATGGTGAATTTGTTCAGGCATTAATAAAAAATACTTATATATTCGAACAGCTAGCTCCTAATATATATATATATTTTTTAAAGTTTTGTTTGAATGGGTGGCCTGAGGACCTGAACACAATCACCCACGCCTGGAAATGGGTGTGCGTGTGTGTGTGTGTCTGTGTGGGGAGATGGCCAGGAAAGTGAGTCTCAGTTTTACAAGTATATTCCTTATATGGGAATTTTGAAATGAGGATCAGGGAAAGGGCTTAATAAAAATACACGTAATCTTAGCTTTGAAAGATCATGATGAACTGGACTACACATTATTACCCTGAAAGGCCAATATGGGACTTCCTATTACTCGCATGAAGTTTTTAGCCATGGGGTTTAGAAATCTACTTCTTGTGCTTTAGAAACTCATGCTATCTTCCTCAGCCTCCATGATTTTGGTGTGGGGAAGCTGCTTGTTCAGCCTGAGGCATGAACACTGAATACCCTGCCTTGAGCTCTAGTGGCCTGGCTAGGCAGGGACACTGAACTCCCACTTCTTCCTAATGTTTCTTCTGCTGCTCTAATGCCTTCATCTGGCTACCCTCATGTTTCATTGATAGAAAACCTGGAGCAAAAGAGAGACATGGCGAAGATTCTGGTCCTTTGAGGCTCCAATATGAGGCATGATACTATCAATAGGACATACTGGTGATGAGCTGTCCCAGGGTCATTCTTGAATCCCTGATAGGCTGAAATGAGATTAAAACGAGAAGCTGAACAGCTAGACAGCACAGCTTGTCTAGCATTATTCCTAGCGAAGCAAAACCACCTCACAGACACAAATCGCTGCTCACACCTAGATTTCAGTGAACAGACAACACGTCTGTGCTTGGGTGAAGGGGATCATTTTCAGCTTGGTTTCGGGATTTGCTATTCCACTCTTTACTGGTACATATTTCTCTCTTGTTAAGTTGGTAAGAGTTTCAAAAATCTGCCAGGGGAATACTGGGCATATCATGCGTATTACTATATTTCACAAGACATGAAAGAAACTGAAAGGCAAAGTTTGTTTTCATCAAAATAGTTTTAGCTCAGTATCTTCTCATAACTTTTCTTGCTTTTGTTATAATTTCCCTTCAGAGTGGCAAAGATTCAGGCAGGGTCCCCTGATGGTAAAATTTAGAATTAAAAAAATATTTATTGATAATGTCTCTTTTAAAAATGTTTGGTAACCCCAACTAATCATCCAAAATGCAAACTGTAAACACAACAGCAGCAAAAGAGTAACAATTGAGTGTAAGTAAGCAGACTATGAACAGGTGACAGACTGAGCAAAAGTGCAAGAGGGAGCAACAGAGAACAAAAGACAGGTGCACACGTGTGCTACAGAGAGTGACAATTTGCGTGAATTAAGTAATCACATTTGGACCACAGCGATTTCAATGCAACCATTTAGGAAACCTCTGGGCCAAATACTAAAACACAGAAGAGGAATGGACGAGCCTTCTTGTGAGCATGCTCAGCATGTTGGCATGGGAACTAGGAAGCACAGAAGCTCTGTAGTCATCTCACAATGGATGGCCACAATTTATAGGGTGCAAAGAAAATTTTTCTCTGGTCCCTGGATACAATATATTGTTTTTTTAATGCTTTCCTTGCCCCCGAAGACTGCAAATGCTGTTCCAAACTCACCAAAGACCCCCTTAAACAAAATACAGAAACCGCAGTAGCAGTAACACCGGGTTTGCCGGAATGCCCCATCCCCTCTACCTTGCCTATGATCTTTTTCTGGGCATGTCTGACAGGAATGGCTAACTTTACCAATCTACTTGATAAAAGCCAGTGCAGACTTCAGTCCCCAGATCACAGAGCTAGAGCAGGTGGGGGTGAGGGTCGGTATGCGTATGTATGAGTCGCTCTGGGGATCTGGACGCTGCCCTCACTTTGTAACCCTTGCCCAGAACTCTGGGGTCGCTTCCACTGGAGACTCCGCAGTAACTCTGAAGTGTCATTAAATACTCAGTTCACCAAGGCTGACCACCTCCATTGTCATAGGATGATGCAGCATCTGCAGAAGCGCTGTCTGCTGCCCCCTACTGATGGGGGTGGAGTGACAGGTGCGAAGTAGGCGTGGACTTTAATATTGGGTAAATGGGTCTGAAACAAGATAGAAACGTTACTAAGAGAGAGTGCTGAAACACAGAGAGCAAGACTGCTTTTCAGAAAAATCACTACATGTCGGGTGGATGTGAAAGCAGGGCAGAAGCTGAATACCAGTCTGGATTTTGAGAGGTGTGAATCTACTGTATTGACCCAGGTTATTATAAATGACTAAATTAAATTACATAAGTGTTGGTTTAATCCATAAACAAATTAAGAAACGAAACTGGGGTAAAACTTCACAGCTGTCTTTTAACCTGTCCCAAAAGGACCTGTAATTGGATTCCCATAAGTGGAAGAAACTACATAAGCATAATATAATTTCCCTCTATCTGTTTGAACAATGTTTTTTTCTGATACTAAAAAAAAGTCAGAGCATCCCTGGTTAAGTCTAAGCACTAAGAAGCTATCCACTGCCACTGTTGCGTGATGTTGATTCCCGGCCAGGGCGCGGACCCACATCGAGAGGCAGACCTTCTCTTCTTTCCCCCATCGTTCCTCTCAATAATGTATTTCAGTAGATTCACCCATTCTGCTCCCCACTCTATCTCTGGTGAATCCTTTCACCCCCACACCTCTGGCCTACACCCCAGAGCTCTTGAATGCATAATAAAATAAATCTTAAAAATCTCACTATCTTCTTTCAAAAACATGATTCTAGTTTCTCATCTATTATGTTTAAGGCCATTAGGCGAGTTACAAACAAGGTGCACAAAGACAGTCAAGATGAAGATCCTGGGCCTCCCTGGTGACACAGGGATTAAGTCACAGTGCTATCAAACTTACCACAGCTTTTGCAGCCTTGAGTTTAATCCCAGCCAGGGAGGTGACCCATATCGCACAGCAGACCTCTCCTGTCCCACCCGCTGTTCCCCTTAGCAGTGTATTTCAGTACATCTGCCTATTCTGCTCCTCGCTCTGTCACCTCCACACCTCAGGCCTACATCCCAGTTCTTATATGGAGAAATAATTAAAACCACCCAGAAAAAGGGTTTGGACAAGGAAATTTAAGAAAAGTAAGTACAAATGAAATTCCTAAATTTACACAACTATTTTCTTTGTTACTCTGTTCATTTTCTGAAAACAGAATCTGACGTGTGCTTTTTTGACTCTAGGCATGTGATTAAGCCCTGGACACTATTGGAGATGCTGCTGGGAGAAGACCTATTGTCCTTCTCTTTAGTGGGAATTTCCCTACTGAATTTTCATGTAAGACAACAAATGAAGACTATCTACCATTAGGTTTGTGTTCTTTCCCTCTCTCTTTGCTGAATGTCCATGTATATAGAAAAAACACAGGAATATAATTATGAGGGGGAAAAGGACATGGGGTTGGGGTTAGGGGAGGAAGGAAAGGTTGCTGAGCAGACGAGAGCTGGAGACTGATGCAACCATCTTTACCCTGAGTCTCTTGATCCCCGCCCGCGTGATTTGCTGGCAGTCATAGAGTTCTATCCGCTCGAGGCTGTGACAGCTCTTCAAGTGCTCCAGGGATGCATCTGTGATGAGTGGGCAGTTGTCCAGTTCAATCACCTCCAGCTGGTCATGGGCACAGGCTCCATTCCCGAGATGGCGGATTCCATCATCTGTGATCAGCTCACAGTGAGACAGACTCTGTAGCCAAAAAGAGAAAAAAAGGACACAAATTATCTAAGGGCACTGGTCTAGTCAGAGGCCTATGTAAAAGTGGAAAGGAGGCCTTCCTGGTCTATTTTTATATACATGGAGCCACATCAGATGTGGTGAAATAAAGAAAGCAACTTAGAGTTGCAGGGGTGCTGCTTATTACCATCAGTGACCAAGACTGCTGTGTGTTTTTGTGGATTTTTATAGTGACAATGAAATAGTTTATAAGCAAAATGAAATTCAATGCCTTCTTCCTAAGCCATATCAAATAGGGACAAATGGGGCTTAAGTTTTCCTGCAAAAAATTTTCTGAAACTTGGATTGAGTATCTGGTGTAGGAACATAACCAGTTAATTAACTGAAGATGATTCTTGTAATTCTCATGTGTGTTTATCATTTCATATAAATCTCTTCGCTATCAATTTTCCTTGGATGCCTGGGTTCCTTCTAGGAACCAACGACCCTATTTTGGATAGCAGCATGCCTTTAAATGTACCAAAAATTACCCTAGATACAGAATGGCCAATTAGAATGGCTTCCTGTAGTGTTAATTAAAGTAGTAGCAGAGAACTTCCCCAGTAAAGTTTTTCTTGGTTTTGTTTTGAAGAAATGTATGGTCCCAAGGTAAATCAAGCTATATTTTAGGCCATCCAGCCCCATGTATATTTGGAGAATTGAACACCATACAGGTTGGATGGACTTCATGAAGAAGGGAGAACTCATATGCATACAAGAACTGGGAGACAGACCAGAAGCAGTGGAGGTGGGGAGGGATAGGGAGAGGACCCACCCAGAGACAGAGTGGGGAAAAGAAAAGGCAGATCTACTGAAATATACTGCTGAGGAAAGTGGGTCACGTGGGTCAGCTCTCTGGTGGAGAACTGAACTTGTGCTGCAGTGGCTGCGGATAACTTTATAGCTGAGACCCTAAACCCAGTGCTACGAGGGAGGCCCTTCCTTGGTCTTCCTTAAGTTAGCAAGATGGAGACATATGCCTTCCCCAAATGGTAACCAGACACTAAGAGGGAAGTAGGGGCTAACTATAGTACTGAGTTTTGATTAATTCCAATTAAACACATAAAACTTTCAAAGTCAGACTCACCAATACTTGAAGTCGAGGACAGTGTATAGAAAGTTGGATTAATGTGCTATCTGTTATCTGAAAGAAAGATACAAGTTTTTTTGGTATAACTGCAAATATAACCTAGGTCATTTACCTCATTCTTCATTATACTTATCATTAGATCCACAGTTATTCCATTAATAAATAACAACCTTAAGTTGAAATCCCATCTGAACTGCCTGAATCTGTTGTTTGAAAATCTATTGAACATTCAATTATCTCTAAGCTTCATCTTTCAACAGCTCTGCTGAAAATTCTGTTTGTTTCTGAAACCAAACTCTGTTTCCATGTAACTTCTACAATTTCTGGACTTTTTTCAACCTCATCAGAACCATCACAGTAAAGAATAAAAAGATATAGCTCCAAGAAAAAAAATTAAAGTAGGAACATCCTCAAATATTTAGATAATTGGCCTGTATTTTATAAAGTAGGCGATAACTCAGGTTTGATAACTTGGATGTCAGTTAACTTCCTAAGATGGAAGCAGAGGTTGCTGGAATCTGGGTTACTAAGAATCTTTGGAAAGAAAAGTCTTTTATAGTTGTCTTACGGCTGAAAGTAAATCAATGCTTCAAGTTCTTCCCCAACTCTTCAGTCACCTTAACTGCACAAGGCTTCACAGAGGCTAAAAAAAGGCGAGGGATAGAGGATTGGAGTGCCAGGTGTGTGTATACCACCCAGGAAGAGTAACAATGGAAAGGGACACAGGATAGAGGGATTTAACAAATTTCAGTTTAGTAAGATCAAGTTTCAGTTTAGTAAGTCTCCAAGTAGTGTCTGGCCATGTTATTATTATTTTTAAAGATTTATTTATTTACACGTACAGAAATGGCGTACAGGCCAGACGTGTGGGGGCAGTGAGAGGATTCACCAGAGACAGAGTGGGGAGTAGCAGGCCAGACAGGAGAGGTCTGCCGCGCCATGTGGGTCAGTTCCTTGGCTGGGATCCAACTCATGCTGAAGCTGCTGCAGCTAGCTCATAGTGCTGTGCTTTACCCCATTGTGCCACCAGGGAGGGTTCTGGCCATGTTATTAAAAAAAAGCTTCTCTCCAATCACTGAATTATCTTAATGCTCTTAAAATTGATAATGTTGAGAACCAGTTATTAGTCAGTCTACCTGTCCTAAGGGCAGAGACAAGCCTCCAGAACTAATGGTATAAGGTGGTCCAGGCTCTAGGTAAGTCAAAAACGGCAGTGCCATGTATTAGCGTGATAGGATTTAATTATTCACCAATATCATAACCACAGGCCTAACGAACCATCTTAACATCTTTACAGCCTGAATGTCTAGGCCTTCTTTTTTCCAATGGCAGCCTTATCAGTGACATGTGTCTTCCTAGTTCCTCAACTTATGTGTGCGCCACTATGCCTAGCGGATACTGTAACACAAGGGGAGTGAGCACTGCTGCCAGGCACTACACGGTAGTAGGGCGGGAACCCAACACTACTGTGTGCAAGTATTAAGTTTTTCTCACACTGTTATGTCTCAGTAAATGTACAGTCTTACCTGAACACACTCTTCCAGGTCCATCTTTTCAAGTTCATGGCAATTCTATAAAATACAAAACCAAACATTACAGTACAAATATTTAAAACTTTAAGGAATTTAAAGCAAATATGGGAAAACTAAACCAGAAACTATGAAGTATTAAGTACACTGATAAAATATTAAGTTTCAGAGGTGGTATAATTTAATGTCACTTTTTGTCTTATTCATTAATTATACAATTTAAAAGTTTTTTTCTTTTTAATGACAATTTACTTATTTTATTATTATTTTTAAAAATTTATTTTATTTATGCATACAAGAACTGGGTAGTATAGGCCAGAGGCATGGGGGGTGAGAGGATTCAATGTGGGGAGCAGAACAGGCAGATCTACTGAAATACACTCTTAAGGGGAGCAGCGAGGGAGACAAGAGAGGTCTGTTGTGCCATGTGAGTTAGATCCCTGGCTGGGGATCTGACTCAGGTCATTACTGTGATAACATTGAGACTTAACTTCTAGGTCATTAGGGAAGCCCCATGTTTAAGGCCTTAACCAATCAAATTTCTCATTTATTCCACATTCAAGTATACTTAAAGTACCTGACACAGGGGCCTCCCTGGTGCAGGGGTTAAGTCAGCGTTATCAAGCTATCACCAGCTACTACAGCATGAGTTCAATCCTCAGCCAGGGTGCTGACTCATAGGGTGCAGTAGACTTCTCCTGTCTCACCCACTGCTCCCCTTGGTCTCTGGTGAATCCTCTCCCACACACCTCCACCCCCATTACCTCTGGCCTACACCACAGTTCTTCTATGCATTAAAAAAGAAGTATCTGACATCTTAAAACTCCAAGGGAATAAAAGAACTGAACAGAGATTCTTTCAAATACAAATAACTGAATGAGAGTACTCTTTGGAAGAGTAGAAGTGTAATGTCCTCATTTAGTTATGTCTAGGTCTGGTCCCTACCTAGACGACTTAATCCATCTGCTTGGAAACAAAGGCCCTTCCCCATGTACAGTACCACTGGTCAAAGATGTCATGATGTTAAAGATTATTATGCAGTAATTTATAAATCTCCCCAAGTATTAAAATCTTCCAAATACAGAAAATCTCTTAAAACCTCTCCTTTTAGAAGCAGGCAATTATGTTTCTTCCAATATTACTCTATCCACCGGTCACACATCAAGTAGCCAAATGTTTCTTCATAAACCACTGGAAAGCCCCTGCTTAGTTTAATGCTATGCTTGTCAAAGCAGAGCAGGCCTGTAACTATAGGCAGCCACAGAGTTCTTCTATACTTTCAATATGAAGGTATGTCCCATACCCTCAATTCTGCTGCTGTCCCAATTTCTTCAATGTTCATTCTTCTGAAATATAAATCCTGAACAAAATCTGGTGAGAGGATTCACCAGAGACCTGGAGAAAAGAACTTACCCTGGCCAGAGTTGTAAAGCCTACATCTGTTAACTGTGAACACCTTGCCACTTCTAATATTCTGTGGAAAAAAAAAAAAGGGGGGGGAAGTCAGGCCCTTGGTTCCTAACTGGGTTTATTTGAATAGCAAATGTTTAAGAAAATGATCTCCTATTCCCTAAGGACTATATAATGTAGTGACATTAACAGCTAAGCAAGTCTGTATGTAGGTCTTGCCATCCATTTGCATCAAGTCTCAGTCATAAAGTGGTCATGCAAATACCACGTCAGAGTGACACAATAATATAATGAAGCTTGTAATTAATGCCAAAATGCATGAGAAATGCATTTATCAAAGCCTTCTTCGTGGCATACTGCTTACCCCCAGAGGGCAGCCTGCTCCTAGAAAACAAAGGAAATGGAGATAAATACTCTGTTTCAGTTATTTGTTACTAAAGAAAATTACTCTTTTTCCTATCTTCTAGTAGGTTCATAATTTTAAATAGCTTTGAAAGATGCTATTAAGGTCCTGTTTAATTACAGGCCTGTCCAAATATGAAATTCCATACTTATGAAAAAATATCCTTAAGCTTCCTGCCTCCTCCCATTGGCTTCCAGGGAAACCCAGTGGGGAGAAAGAAGCTGAGTTGGCAGTCACTCTTCTATTTATGACCTGCTGAACAACTGAATTACCAGTCACTGAAATGGGAATCAAAAAGTAGGTCCTTTGTTAAAAAGTTTGTTGTCATCTGTAGTACCAAAAGACACTTATGTTTGCTTACCAATTACTACAGAAATTGAAAAAATTAAAGCTAAAATATAAGAAATCATTAAGAACTAAAAATCAATTCAAATGAACACTATATCAAATGGGAAAGCATGATCTGACTGAAACTTAGTTTCTGAAGATCACATTTGAGTCTTTACATTATAATGATAACATGAAACATTAAGAATAATGGAGTTCCTCCCTCAAAATAGAAAAAGGTAACAGGCAGTAGTTTCAGAGTAGAGTTTGGTTACCTCTTTGTTCCTGAGAATTACTTTTCTCTAGGATTTGACATTATTAATTTTGACCAGAAGTCTAATTTACTAAGGAATTTTTCTTTCAATAGGCAAATTTTCTTCCACTAATTATGGTTAGGCCCATGGACAGGTGATCACACACATAGAAAAAGCTTTTAAGTTCAGAACTAAGATTCTAATATTTAAGACAATTAATTTCAGGGGTTCTGAAAAAAGAATACCTGGGTTTGAATCCTTGCTCCTGGACTTAGCTATGAGATCTTGAACAGGTTACCTGAGCTTTCCTTTGTGGTTTTCTCATCTATAATACAGAGGTACTAACAGTGCAGATAATGGCATTATGATGGCTAAATGAATACTGGTAAATCATTTAAAACCATGGCTAACATCTCTAATATATAATTTTTTAAAACAAAAGATTTACAGAGGTCATCCATATTTATTACTAGACAGTGTGTTGTGTGCTTGTAGAATCAACATGGGTTTGATACTATATGCATGTTAATAAAGCATTCTTAGTAAATATTCGGCCAATCCCAGTTTAGGCACTGAGGAGCCACAGGGTAAAAACTTGCTCTAGAATACTGTCAGCACAAAAGGTCTCTTGTAGGGCTGTTTCTTTCTTTTTTTTTTTTTAACTATTCCCAGGTATCTTTACAATAATATAAATGGCTAGGCCTTTAAAACTTCTTCAGAATTATACGAAAGCATTAATAAGAAAAAAATACTTCATTTCTTTATTTAAATGATGAAATAAAATGTTGACTTCCCCCCAGTATGAATACCAAGAAATAGAAAATGGGGACTATTAACCCAATTACATGTAATCGAGTGAGTTACAAAGCAAGTAGGTGGGCATTAAAAGAATAGTGGTTCTTGCAAAGTTGTCCATCTTAAAAATTTCAAGGTTCCAATAGGAATAAATGTAGGCAAAGGAGGCCTCTATTCTTGTCCCTTCATTTTTTTAAGCTAAACAAGAAATGTTTACCTAAGCCGTGGGCAGTTCTGACCTAGAGCATTCAGGATAGCATCTGTGATGTTGGAGCAGCCGGAGGCACAGAGGGACTGTAACTTATGGCACCCTCTGCATATAGTAATAAGACCGTCATCTGTGATTTGCTAAAAAACAAGAGCAAAAAAAAAAAAAAAGAAAAAAAGAAAAAGAAAAGAAAAACAAACCCCACAGATATTAGTACCTTAGCAGAAGAAAAAAATGTTACCTCTGTGAAAATAAGAACCAAAAATAAATCAAAGCAGATTTAAATTAATCAGTTTCTTTTCATTGAGCTTGCAAGATAATCAATCATGTGTTCATTTGTGGTGCAAAGAGAAGGAACTAAAATGAGATTCTTTTGCCCTAATGGGAATGTGGACAATGTGGGGCACATTATTGTGTAGTTTCAACTGAATTATTTTATATCCAGAACAGTAGTACTTTAATAGTATAAACATTTACAAATTCAAAACTGATGCTGGTAAGTTGGTGAAACCAGAAGACACTATAATTTCGTATCAACCACAAATTATTTCTATTTTAATTTTATAATATCTTAATTTATAGAAAGTGTCCAAGTGATTTTTGTATGTTTAAAATTATTTCAAAATAAAAAGAACACAGAAAGATGTTACATTAAAAAATGTATTCACTATTTACATTAGCATGTTCTCAGTATTACACAACTGAATCAAAATATAAAACAGTGCTAAGCAGATACAGGATTTGTCATGAGAATAAATTAGTGCGACATATACACATGAGAAACTACTTAAAAAGTGTCAGTCAAATATGACATATTACTTATGACTAAACAAGGACAAATGAAATATAAATAGGAAGCAGCAGTCCATAAGCAGACATACTCAGCAGACCAACAGAATTGCTCTGTTGCCTTTTTCTTCTTAATGTTTTCAAGTCTACAAGGGATTACTGATGAAGATGAGGAAAGTTTTATTACCAATACTTTAAATTTTAGAAAGAGTAAAATTTACTAAATTTTAGTTTCAAATTAGTGAAACAGAAGAGAATGGATCAAGAATGTGCTCTGGTCACTTCAAAAATTCTGGGCAAGAACACGAAGACTAATGCATGTTGAGAATGACATCACATTATCCAGAGGAACAACTCATGCACTAAAATCTAGATGAAGGGAATCAGTACAGTCTTCCAACAGTGATTCTGCCTGGTAAAAGAACTAGAACTAAAATGGTAGCCGGTGTGTATGGTATATATTATTTATTTGAAGGTAGCACACATCCACACCCTCCTACTAACAGTGTGTATAAATGAAATCTGAAGACAGCCAAAATCGTTTTTCTCCTAGTACTAAAAGATGGTGGTTTCATGTTTAAAACAGTTATGCATGCTCTCTCAGGCCAAATATCTACATTTCAAAAATGAAATTAAGCAAATTTTGATAGCTAGCAATTATGGTACTCAGAATTAAAAAGAAAAGGAGTAACATTCATTTAACCCAGTCTACTGGAGCCTCCCTATACAGATTACTATCAGCACCAGCCCATAAAGCTAGAAGGGCAACTTGGGCTTTTTATGTCACTTTTAATGTGTCACTTTAAAACTAAACAAACCAGAAAGCTCTCAAATTTTAGGTGATCAAACTGGAAGGGGATGGGTATAAGATGTAGAAGGGTTAGCAAAAAAAAAAAAAAAGGAAAATCTCCCATAAACTTATTACATTGCTATGAGAAGCTCTCATTCCAAAGCAACACCCATGTGATTTTCAAGGCAAGAAAGCAAAGTTAAAGGTATACTGCCAATGTTCTAGATGCCTGAGTAATTTTAGCAAATTCTGAATAAAATTCAGGCATTTTGGGATAGACACAAAAAGACTGACAATCTATACAAGCCAAATGTGAACTACAAATAAAATGAATAATACTGAAGAGATGTTAAAAGGCCTGCTTACTAAGCAAGTCTGTAAGTTCAAAGTCACCAGTTCAGGACAGTGAGCACCTATGTACTTGAGAGCTTCATCTTCTAGCTAGAAAGATTAAAAGGAGAGAGAAAAAAATGATTACTGACATTGTTTTAAAAGATAACGAATGTATCTTTATTAGTATTTTTCATCAATTCTGGCCCCACCAAAGTCATCCAATCAAGGAAAAATAAACATTGCCTAAAGTTCATAGATTTTTATTTTGAAACATTTAATATGCTTCAGCATTTTACTAAAGATTAGGAAACCAAAATAATTTTTCACATTTCTACACTGTCTCAAAAAAAATTTTCAAAACTTTTGGAAGCAGGAGCTGAAAAAGGAATCCATAGTTTATCTGTTGGAAGATCAGTGCCATGTGTACAGTGCTGAGAACAGATGGCAAGTAATTGATTATAATGATGTATCCCAATCAATATTTTTCAGGACTCCGTAAAAAAACAGAAGCTCAAGCTGTTGTTTTAAGGCAGAGATAGTGTAAAGCTGTTTAAATAACAGGAGCCTCCCCTCCCCCAATCATAATTAAAGAATGAGGGTATTTTCAATGAACACTAGTCTTCATAACTATTAAGAATAAAATCCTACCTTATCAGTCACTCATACACCTACTCTTGATCATTTCCTTCCAGATGCTATCCTATCAATTTCTCTTTTTTCACTGTAAAATACCTAGAGTAAAATTCTTAATGACAAAAAATGTTGGATTTGTAATCTGTCTGGCAGAAAAAAGCCATCAACACTACAAAATTAGGTTGCTATATAGTTGGCTCACCACGGTTAAACAACTAATGAAAGTTGCCAGATTGCCTTCCTTGTCTACCGAAGTTCCAGATCTCAGGCAGTGAAAACAGCAAATTTTCTTTAGATGAAACGACATAAAAACTCTCCGACCTATGGTAGGCAACCAGCATGATTCTGTCTCCCCCAAACTACCTCCCTTCAAAAATTTATCTTTGGTAAAAAGGTAATTATCTATCTCTGAGGAAAACACTAATCTTTCGTAAGCACATGTCTTTGGTTAGTAACACAGAACAACTACATATACCTCAAGTTAACCTTGGTGCTGCCCACAAAGTTCAAGGTTCCTCTGTCTTTTCACAGCACTACATGGAGTATTACCTGTGTACAGCCTTTTAAGAATAAGGCCTTGAGACCCCCACAGCCTCTCACTAGTGCTTGGATACCATCCTTGGTTACTTGGTCACACCAGGAAATGTTCAGTTGCTCCAACAGTGGACATCCCTCACTTGGAATAAAACAAAACATATGACTAAATATAAATCCCAAAGGCCAAAGTCTCATTTTATTAGTTAGTTAGGGAAAGGATAATAGCCCCATGCTCTCCCACAAAAATATACGTATTTATTTAATGTAGATCTGGAATGTAGGCAATCCTGTAACAACAAAAAGCTAACAATTTAGTGTTCTAGTGGGACTATATTACTAAGAGGGCAATCTCAAATTCAGCTTAACCAAAAAGCACAAATTTTCCCCCAGATACATTAGGTATTATTTATGGAAGCTTATACTTTTCAAAGCATATTCTTTATATATATATATGTATATATATATCACCTATATAAAAGGCACAAAATGTAAAGTGAGAGATTTGTTAAAACAGGAGAACTTAGGTTCAAATACGCCAGATTTTTCTATCAAATAATATTCTTTATCAAAGTAATAATAAGTACATTTAAATTTTTACTTAAAAAAAGATAAAGAATCAGTAAATTTCCTTATATTGATAGTACCTAAAATACTGTTTCAGTGGGCTTAATTTAAGATATATTTTGTTGCTTTTCTGCCTTCTATAAAATACTAGCTTCAGCTGTGGAAAATATTACTTTAATTACAAAATAATATCACGAGGCCCTGGTTTAAGTTCCTTCTTCACCATTAACAGTGAGACTTCAAACTAGTCAGTTCAGGAAGCTTGCCTGAACCTCTCTTAAGCTAAGAGAGGTTGTGCCCTTTTATGTTCTCCCCAAACGTGACACACTCACTTCTACCAATACACTGTAATATGATGACATGTTTAGTGGTTTCTCCCCTCTCACGAGAGTGAAAAACTTAAGGGCAGCAACAATATCTTATTCATTTCCATCATGGCTGAATCAAGTGCATGCCTTGAAAAATGTTCTAGGTTTTCTTATTGGTAAAAAGTGTTATCTACAAGATTTTCAAATAAATGAGATCGCTTATGTGCAAATATTTCATTAACTATAAATGAGAAAAGGTCTTGGATATGTGTGTGATTTACAAGGGAGGTCTAGAAAGAGTCCTATTTCTGAATTATATATATTCTACTTAAATAAGTTTACACTTAATGGCTTAATTCTTACTTTGCACAAGTGTAACCAATATATGAAATTATAATCATTTATAAAATGCTGGTCAAAAAAAGGGTAAAGTTACAAAGAAAACAGGCATTTCAGCCTTGTATGATACATTTTTTTAAAAGATTTATTTATTTATGCATACAGAACTGGGGTACAGGCCAGAGGTGTAGGGGCAATGAGAGGATTCACCAGAGGCAGAGTGGGGAGCAGAACAGGCCGACTGACGAAGTACACTGCTGAGGGAGCAGTGGGCGGGTCAGGAGGGGTCTGCCACAAGAGGCCTGGATCACCTTCTGGGCGGAGCTCCAACTCGCACTGAAGCAGCTGCCACTGGCTTGCAGCGTTGTGCCTTACACCCCTGTGCCTTACACCCCTGTGCCTTACCCCTGTGCCATCAGAGAGGGCCTGATACAATTTCTACAATGATCCCTAAACATTAATTAATAGTGAAACTTGTTGAGTACATACTAGGTGGCAGGAACCCTGCTACATACTTTATATGTATTAGGCTGAACCACATGAAGCTGTCATTTTTATAAGACAAAAAAATGCCGAATCATGACAATTCTTTATGTTTCAGCTATATTATTGAACAATAATATTTTTTTAATGTTAACAACACAAAGAAATGATAAAGAAAAGCTCAAAAGTGTCCATTTGCTCAAAGTACCTGCTTAGTGATCTGACTCCAAAGTGCTGTTTTAATCACATATGATACAAAATCTATTTTTACTTTTGGAAAAAACAAATCTTTACAAAAATCTTATCATTCGTGTACAAATTATACTATTTTGTTCAGAAATTCTAGTTACCTCTAGTCATTTCATCTGAATGTGCCCTGTAATTTGGGCAAGAAGTAAAGCATAAGATCATTTTAAATTATAGTACATATCCATAAAACTTTGTTTCCATCAATTCCAACTTTACTTCAGTTATTATGTTTTAAATAATAGTTTTATTTTTACATCATTTTTTGCCTTTTTCCATCCCAGTTACTTCAGTTATTTTTAAAAAAGTATTTGTTCTTATTACTGAACATTGTATGAGAAATTTACCTCAGAGCTTTTAGAGACATGTTTGTTATAGATGTACAGGAAGCCAAGTCAAGGTGCCTGAGTTTGGAACAGAACTTGCTAAGGCTAGTACATGTACTGAAAAAAATGGAGAAAAAAGAAAATAATGAGTAAGAACATATCCTTAATATATCATACTTGATTCTCACTAAAGATGCAAGTATATGTAGAGGAACTATAAATTTCCCATACCCAAATAAAAGCAATTATAAATCCTGGAGCCTTTCACATTGAGAAGAAAGTATGTCTCCTGTATGAGAATTTGAATGAGAAGTAGGTGGGGTTTAATTCACATTTGGAAGTGTTTTAACAACTATTAACACCAAACACAATGCATTTTGCCAATCCAGGAATTCCAGGATACTAGGCAGTACCTAAGGAGTGCAACAAAGACTGCTCTGTCTCTGCTCTGTCTCTGCTCTTTCACTTGTTCTTTGCTAAGTATTTCCTTTTACATATCAATAAATAACCAGATTTTACAAGGTATACAGATGGTGGACCATTACTGTGCTGACAGAAGATATGTAATGTTACTATCTACATTCCTTCATGCATTTCTTAAAGACCTCTCTTTTCACAGTAATCAAGTTCTCTGTTAATTCAGATTATGAGAAATTTCAAACACAAAATGAGTAATAAAGAAATCTATCATCAAGCTTGACATTTATCAACATTCTATTATTTCATCGATTGCTCATTCTCTAATCCGATCCTCTTCCTATAATCTCCCAATCCCCTAGTATTTTAAAGCAAATCCCAGACATTTTATTTCACCTGTAAATATTTCAGGACGTATTTCTCATAAATACTTTGATTCTGTAACATCTGTTAGCCAGTCTGTATTAAGTTTCTGTAATTCTCATAAATGTCTATGTCAAATTGATTTGTTCAAATTTGGATCCAAGTAAGAGGCTCACATTATATCAGTAAAGATATTCTGAGGTCTTTCTTTGTGTGGATTGTGTTTCTGCTTCTTTTGGGTAGATGCTTAAGAGTCATATGGCTAGGCTCTGTACTTAGTTTAAGCTTGACTTGTTCAAGAAATTGCCAAATTTTTCCAATCTGGCTATAACATTGACATTCCCAACAGTACTGTATAATGGTCCCAGTTTTTCTAAATCGTTTCCAAAATCTGTCCTTGTCATTCTCCTGATTATAGTATTTCAGTGACATGGAGAGGAATACCACTGTATTATTTTGCAATTCTGTAATATATATCATTTCTTGTGCTTATTAGACATTTATTCTTCCTTGGTGAAATGTCTATACAAGAATTTAGGCCAAGTTTTAAATGAATTGTTTGACCAACTGTAAGATTTCTTTACATGTTCTTAACATGCGTTCTTTGATTTCTTCAGTAATGTTTTGTTATTTTTTTCATTGTAGAAATCTGGCACTTTTTTCAGAATTAGGTTATCTGCAAATAAAGATAATTTTATTTCCTATTGATATGATCTTTTTTCTTTTTTTAAAAAAAGATTTATTCATTTATGCTTACAGAACTGGGGTACAGGCTAGAGGTACAGGGGGTGAGAGGTTTCACCAGAGGTAAAGTGGGGAGCAGAACAGGCAGATCGACTGAAATACACTGATGAGGGGAGCAGTGGGCAGGTCAGGAGAGGCCTGTCACACCGTGTGGCTCAGCTCCCTGGCTGGGAATCGAACTCATGCTACAGTGGCTTTGGAAAGCTTCATAATGCAGCACTTTAGCCCATTGCGCCACCAGGGAGGGCCCTGATCTTTTTTCTTTTACACTTACTACACTGGCTAGAATTTACAATAACATATTGAACAGAGTGGGGAGGGCTAACTGTTGTGCCTTCCTCGTGACCTTAGGGTAAAGCAGTCTTTACTCTAAGTATGACTTTAACAGTAGGTTTTCATAGATGTCTTTGAGGACATTCCCTTTTTGTTTGAATTTTTATCATGAATGGATGCTGGATTTTGGCACACACACTTGTATCTATTTATCAGTTATCTGCTACCCCAAAACTGAGCAGCAAATTACCCCAAAACAACAAATACTCATTATCTTCATTTCTGGTGTGCTGGGAGAAATACAGGCACAGGCAGCTTAGCAGAGTGCCTCTGACTCAGGGTGTAGCACAAGGGTACAATCAAAGCACTGGCCATAGCTGCAATCATCTCAAAAAGAGTAAACGGAGTGGGTTTTCCTTCCAAGCTCATTTAGGCGGCTGGTGGTTGCTGGCTGACCTCGAAAGACCCAGTTTCAGTCTCACAGGCTTTGGATAGGTTTCAAGTCCTTGCTGGAGGTTGGCTGGATTTATCAGTTCCCGCTATGTGGGCCTCTCCTACTCACAACAGGGCAACCTGCTTTCCCTAGAGCCAGAGTTAGAGCCGAGAGACAAGAGAGTAAAAACAGAAGTCACAGTTTTTTTGTAACTTAATTTTCAGTGACATCCAATCTCTTTTGCAGTATTCCTTGTTGGAAATGAGTCACTAGGTCCAGACCATGGTCAAGGAGAAAAGATTACACAAGGATGTGAATACCAGGAGGTAACCATTATTTGAGAACCATTTTAGAAGTTGCCTACCACACTGAAAAGACCAAATGCTTTTGGTCCATTATTCCAGTTGCCTATTTTTAAATGGCCCACAAGGCCAAAAATTGACATTTTTAAGTGGTACAAAGAAAATGAAAAGATATTATTTAGTCACGTGAAAATGATTAAGAAACCTAAATGCACCCAGCAATTTTAAAGTTTTACTGGACCACAGTGCCTTTGTTTATTGTTTATTATGTATTGTTCATAACTGCTTTTGTTAAACATTAGCAGGGTTTAAGCAGTTCTAATAGAGACCCAATGGCCAAAGGGGCCTAAAATATTTACTTATTAGATGCCATCAGGACAAAGTTTGCTGATCCCTGTTTCTGAGAGATACTGATCTGTAGAGTTCCTTTTATAGTGATTTCCTTGCTTTTGGTATCACAAAAACACTGATCTCCTAGATGTTTCCTGTTTTCCTATGAACTTGAAGATTGGTAATTATTTTTTTAAATACCTGATGGAACGTACCAGGGAAGTTATCTATGTTTGGGTCTTTGTGGGATAATTTTGAACTGCTTACTGAATTTACCTGTTATGGGTCTGTTATCTGATCTTATCTGTTTTCTTCAATTCTGACTGCTCTGTTCTGAGTTTTAAAATATTCTTTCTCATTTCTTAATGTTGAAGGTTGTTACTGATTTAAGCTTTCCTTCTTTCCTTTTGAAAAAAGAATTCAGTTACTGTCACTGCATCCCATAAATTCTGGTAACTTCATTCTGCTTGTCATGCAATGTGATCTGATAAACAGACATGTAAAACTGTGTATGATTAATATAGTTAACACATTCTTCTCATATAATTATCATTTTTTTGTTGTGACAGTGAAAACATTTAAATTTTTATAGCAATTTACAAGCATATGTTAACTATAGTGTTAACTATCATCACCATGTTGTACATTAGATCCCTGAAACTTATTCTTCTTATAAACAAACTTTTTTCACTTGACCATTGATCTCATTTTGTTGTTATTTTTAATACCTATTGAGAAAGCTAGTGAATTTTTTAGATGTTATAGTCCAAAATTTTCCTTTGGCTGGGTTATTGTAACTTCTTTCTTTTTTAAAAAAAGATTTATTTATGTATACAAAAACTGGAGTACCAGCCAGAGATGCAGGGAGTAAGAGGATTCACTAGATAGAGTGGGGAGCAGAACAGGCAGATCTACTGAAATACACTGCTGAGGGGAGCATGGGGTGAGACAGGAGAGGTCAACTACACCATGTGGGTCACCTCCCTGGTTGGAGATCGAACTTGTGGTGCAATGGCTGTTGACAGCTTCACAGTGCTGTGCCCTAACCTCTTGTGTCACCAAGTAGGGCTCTGGGTTGTTATTCTCTCTATCTCTTTGCTGTTGGTCTCAATTTAACAAGTCTGTTCTCATACTTTCCTATTTTCCCCACATGCAATACTTTTCTAAAAACTGATAAATGACCTGTAGCATTACTACTTTCAGGTGTACAACAAAATACTATGTATTTCAAAATTATCACCAGCAACGTAATTTCAAATTTTCCTCATAATGAAAACTTTTAATATCTACTTTTCATTAACTTTAAAATATCTGGTTTCAGTGTAACATGAAAAACAGGTGTTTTTAAGTTTATATCCTCATGTATTTTATGTTTGTGAATATTATCGTAAATTTTCATTTTCTATTTGTCATCACTTGTACAGAGAACTAGTATTTTTTTTTTTTGAGAACTAGTATTTTTATTTACAAGCCATATTTCCTGTGGACTTACTACAATCCTATCATGTTATTTCTTTCTTTCTTTTCAATTTACATGTCCTTTTCCTTATTGTTCTAGGTGGGACCATTCAGCATAAGGTTAATTGAGGTAAAAAACCCAACATCCCTTCCTTATTCCTGATCTTACTAGGGAAAGCATTTAGTCTTTTATGATTAAATATGATCTCAGCAGTAGGATTTTCACATATACAACTTGTCAGGTTAAGAAGTAACCATCTTATAATTTTGAGACTTTACCATTAAATGGTGTTTAATTTTGTAAAATGCCTTTTATGGATCTAATGGAATGATCCTTTGATTTGACTTGCATTTCTAGGATACATCCAAATTGGAAATTATTACCCTTTTCATTTATATTGCCTCATTCAAGCTGATAATATCTTGTTAAGGATTTTTATGTGTCCATGAAGGATACTGACATATAGTTTCTTTACTTTTGTATAATTTTTGATGTTTGATATCATGTAACGATGGCTCCATAAAATGAACAGAAAATGAATCGAGCAACAGCTTTCTATTGCTCTAAGCACAGCATTTAGTACATTCCTTAAGTTTCAAATGTTCCATTTCATTATCGCCCAGCAAAACATATTTTAAAATGAATGCTGTCCGGGTGCTTTTTGGTATAGTACTCTACAACTGTCAAACAGGAAAAGTTCACTGATAGTCTTAATCAATCTGCTACGATTTTACTGTTTTTCAGTTTACTTGTTTTATCAGTCACTCAAAGGGCAGCTATTCAATCTTTTCCAGCTATTCTTTTTCCTCACGTTTACATCACCTTATATTGATATCCACAACAACTTTCCTGTGATTAGTATTTATAACGGTGTATATTTTTCTTACTTTCAATCTCCATATCTAAGTTTTCTTTAAAATTCTTGAGCATATTTATAACTGCTAATATTTTACTGGTCAGTGTTTTAATCTCTGTCCTTTCTAGGTCTTTTTCTATTGACTCGTTGCGCTGATTTAATTTTCCTGTTTCTTTGCATGTCTTGTAATTTTCAAGTGAGTGATGGAAATTCTATGTGCTATATTGCTAAGTGTCTAGATTCTGTTGTTTTCCTTTAAATAAAATAATAGGTTTTGACTTGGCAGGCAATTAAGTGAGCTGGGAATCAAGCAACCCTACTTTAGTTTTACTGCCAAAGTACGACCATTCTGAAGGCTCAGTAAAATGTCCCCAGATGTTCAATGAGGTTTCTCCACTTTAAGTAGTCAGACCACCTTGCAGCCTTATTCAAACTCTGGTAATTCTTCAGTTTAGTTTCCCCAAAAATGTTTGTTCTTTACAAAAATGAAATGTTCTTTGCCCACTTTTGTGAAAAACACATCCACTTTACTATTCAGCCAACTCTACATGGGCTTCTGTGCCCTTATTTGAGTAGTTTCCTGGGCTCTGCCTCCTTTAACTCTGACTGCTTCTCTTCAAATCAGTCAGAAGTTCATCTCTACTTGAGTTTCCTCTCCTCACACCATTGTCCAGAAAATCCCACTGGGCTCTCTTCATTTGTTTCTCAGTTCTGTGTCACATGTTATTCTACATCTCAGTTGTAGGTGTAGTTGTTTATAGCAGTAGGGTGGTTACCTTCAGTCAGAAGTCTCCACCTTTGTTCTTTAAAATTTGTTAACATTTGAGGGCCTCCCTGGTGGTGTAATCAGTTAAAGTGCACCATTATGAAACTGTTTGCAGCCCCTGTAGCACGAGTCTGATCCCCAGCCAGGGAGGTGACCCACATGGCACAGCAGACCTCTCCTGTCTCCCTGCTGCTCCCCTCAGCAGTGTACTTCGCCAGATCTACCTGTTCTGCTCCCCACTCTGTCTCTGGTGAATCTTCTCACCACCCTTGTACCTCTGGGCTGTATGTACCCCAGTTCTGTATGCATAAATAAATAAATCTAAAATAAAATGTCACTAGGACAAGTGAAAACCTGAAACACTGATAATAGCTTTTTCGATTTTATCTTCTAGAAACACCTAGTTTAGAAAATTTCCAGATTAAACAGCATGAAGTCTAAGACTTTATGAAAATAAGATGAAAAAAGGTGAGTGGGTGGGGGTATAATGAAAATAAGGCTAGTCATAAACTGATACTTCCTCAACTCTCAATTCTGAACTGGGGTGATGAATTCACTATACTATTTTGTCTACTTTGGTATATGATTAAAATGTTCCTAAGAAATAAAAACTCAGCAGAAGCAATTTCTCTTTATGTAATTATAGCTCTGATTTGATATGGTTGGGATCGTATGTTTTGTTTTCAATTTTTAAAAAAGATTTATTACTTATACATACAAAACTGGGGTACAGGCCAGAGGTACAGGGGCTGTAGAGGCTTCACCAGAGATATAGTGGGGAGTAGAACAAGGGGAGTGACAGAAACACACTGCTGTGCCTTGTGGGTCAGTTTCCTGACCAGGGATTGAACTCATGCTAAAGTGGCACCTAACATTGTAATGCTGAGCTTTAACCCATTATGCCACCAGGGAGGGCCCCAATATTTTAATTATTTAAAACAGTGACTGAGCATAAAATAAAATATGATAACACAGGCCCCCCTCTCACCTCCTCATCCACAAAAATAACTACTTATTTTTTGATAATTTTCCACTTTTGAAAACATTGTATGGTTATGTTTATATTATGTATTATATATACAGGCCTTACAAAAACTACCTTCTATGTACACTTTTCTGCAGTTCTTTTTCTTTTTCATTTCTAAGATACATTTATTTATGCATATAAGAACAAGGATATAGGTTAGAGGTGCAGGGAGTGAAAGGATTCACCAGATACGAGTGGGGAGCAAAACTAGCAGACTGACTAAAATACACTGCTGAGGGGAGCAACAGGCAAAACAGGAAAAGACTGCTGTGCCATGTGGGTCAGCTCCCTGGTGGGAGATTGAACTTGTGCTGCAGTGGCTGCACTGCAGCAGGGGCTACAAATCCCTTGCGCCACTGGGGAGAGCCTCCATTTCTACTTTAATGTCACTTTCTCCTTTCAAAGTATCTTTCCCTTATAAAATCAAACTGATATTTTATAAATATATTTAGCTGCCTGCACTTAAAGCTCAAGTGTAGCCCTTAAGTAAGGGGCTATGACTTACCCATTTAAAACAGAATACTTACGCATCTGTAGTCTTTGTACACCCATTCAAATTCAGTACTTCAATGTTCCTACAATTTTGTGCAAAAGTCCTTTATGGGAAAGAAACAAAGTGAAAGTTTGAAAATTAAATGGGCATACAACTCTAGGCATTAAATAAAAGAAAAGAAACTACTGTTGGACATTGGCAGCAAAATAGTTAATAATTATGAATACATTAATTTTTAATCATAAACTTTTAAAAATTAATGCTTTCGTTAATCAAAGTAAAAATTACCCAGAGTAAATAGACCTTCACTTTACAATAGGTCCAGTATATGACCAAATCACTATACAAGCCCTTCCAAGTAAGCACAAATCACATAATGGGCTGAACAGTCATATGATGGCTGACATCAAGTAGACTGTGTTGGTGGGGCATCAGAATAAGTATTTATTAGCACAGCATATGTTATTAGCTGATGTTACACTGTAACATGGGTCCACAGTTCTTTTTTTAAAAAATAATATCATAGTTTATTTTTATATCATTTTGTGCATTTTTCCATCTCAGTTGTAATCCCCTTGGGCTTCCCATTACCAAAACACCCATGTGCCATCACCAAAGTCCAGTGCATTTCCCTCCCCCCACTGTTTGGTCCACTGTTCTTTTAAGTAAAATAAAGAACTGTTTTGTTTTTTAGCTTTTATATATCTTTTTGTATTAGTAGTTGTTGTTGAACTGCATAAAAAATAATGAGTTAAAATATAACCAGGGGCCCCAGAGTATACGAAAAAGAAATTTTCAATTAAATTGAAACAAAACATTATTAAAAAGCATGATAAAGTTTGTGAACTGGTACAAGAATTTGTTTTTTCTTCTGTTCCATTAGCATAATCTAAGTGATTTTCAAATAACCTTTTTCAGTTCAAGTTACTTTATTTCTGATTCTACCTTAACTGTTACTATAGGTGAAATTTTCTCAGAGTTGCACTTTTACTGTATGTCAGTCTTACATAATTTATGTGCTAAAAATTTCAAATTCTGTCATTTTCGAAAGAAACACACTTTATCAATATGTTCTTAGAGTCACATTACAACATTTTCACTACACAACTGGGAGGTTTATTGTAAATGAAAATTAAAAGAACCATTGTGATATGGGGAATCTAGTGTTAGGGGATAGTACTTTTTCTGGTTTAATTCTCAACACCAGTTTCTACTTTTGGGTGTTTGTGTTGTAAGCAGTGTTATGTGTATTTGGATTTGGAACAGCTTAGGAATTTAACTATTTTAGCCTTTTCTGAGTGAGATGGTTTATTATTCTTTGCTTCAATCAAGATCACTTAATTAAGTTAATTCTTGCCTTAATGCATTGTCTCCTACTCCAAGACACCCGCGAAGACTTAACTTTCGTAAAAAGCCCCCGCATCTCTTTGAAATATTCTCCACCACCCGGCCCTGTAAAAAATAAATAGGCAAACAAAAATGTAAGCCACTACAATGTTTTTGAAAATAAGACGTCCTCATTTTTAGTAATTTATAAACAAAAGAAGCTTCTACTCATTTTAAAGACCTAGTTAACAATTTTAAAAAAAGATTTATTTATTTATGCCTACAGAACGGGGGTACAGGCCAGAGGTGCAGGGGCAGTGAGAGGATTCAAGTGGGGAACAGAACATGCTGGTCAGGAGAGATCTGCCACACCATGTGGGTCACCTCCTTGGCGGGGATAGAATACATGCTGAAGTAGCATTAGCATCTCAGTACTGTGCTTTAACCCGCTGCACCACCAGGGAGGGTCCTAAAGGCCTAATTTAATAGGAAAATTTCAACTTACTGTGAGAAAGCTTTTCTGATTAACCCATCTACTTGAAACATGTCTAAGTTCTAAACTGTTCTTTATTTTTGCTCAATTTGTAAGCTATTGAGAAAATGTGCTCTGCAGATCTTTTATGTCATTATGTTTATGCAGAGTGCCCTCTCTGCTAAACTGCAGTACTGAACAACATTAATTCTTTTTATTTCTGTATCCTTTCCATTGCCTTTACTGTAGTACTCTGAACACAGCAGGACTCAACAAATGTTAATGAAAGCTATGCTGAATGATTTTGTGGGCCATGTTCAATACATTTACATCCATGAAGATTAGAGAACTGCAAAAACCATAAAAATCTAGCATATTGTTAGTGGTTTTTTTTTTTTAAGATTTATTTATTTGAGCATACAGAATTGGGGTACAAGTCAGAGGTACAGGGGCGGTGAGAGGATTCACCAGAGACAGAGTGGGGAGCAGAACAGGCTGACTGATGAAGTACACTGCTGAGGGGAGCAGTGGGCGGGTCAGGAGAGGTCTGCTGCACCATGTGGGTCACATCTGAGGCAGGCGGGGATCAAACTCATGCAAAAGTGGCTTTAGCTTCTCAGTGCATTGCTTTAACCTGCTGCGCCACCAGGGAGGGCCCTGTTAAGTGTTATTTTTAAAGTACCTTCTGAAGTTAATGGAAAGTTGACATGAGGTTTTTTAAACTTTTTATATGAACCTTCAAGAAACTTAAATTCCACTGAATCAAACAACAACCAATCTTCAAAAATCTAAATCTCACTATTCCTTTTAACAATGTGAGAAAGTTACTATTTCTACTCTCCTGATGAGAACATGGACAACTGAGTTCAAATTCAGCTTAATACAATTTAAGCTTTGTTAATTATGCTTCCACATTTTTAGAAATAGCCTTTATTAAGATATTTAATATGAGAGAACAGTGAGAAGAAAGTCTCTCTCCCCAGTAGAAATCATTCAATAGATGACTTTGGGGTTATTTTAATTCTTTACAAAAACTGTTGGTAGGCTCTCCAAGATACAAAATGCTGGTTTTGGGTGTTCCTGGTGCAATGGGTTAAAGCACAGCACTATGAAGCTATTCGCAGCCACTGCAGCCCAAGTTCGATCACTAGCCAGGGAGCTGACCCACATGGCGCAGCAGACCTCACCCTGTCTTGCCTCCTGCTCCTCTCAGCAGTGTATTTCAGTCCATCTGCCTGTTTTGCTCCCCACTGTCTCTGGTGAATCCTTTCACCCCCACACCTCTGGCCTATACCCCAGTTCTTATATGTATAAATAAATAAATCTTTTTAAAAAATGCTGATCTCAAAGATAATTTATACAAATACCATCTAGTAAGTTTCTAATCTACTTATGTTTCAGTAAACAAATACAAAATGACTTCCTTAAAATAAGCAAACATAGATTCATTTCCGCCTGCAAAATAACCAAAATCTTTAGTCCTATTAATATGAAATAACTGAGTACTATTTCAATAACATAATTCTGTTCACTCTCAAAACTGAACAAGCTCCTGAGACCACTGCAGGCTCCCATGAATTTCAGATGCCCTAAATTAATAGTTTCACTCTCCAGAGAAAGGAGATTTATATAGTTGAGGCTAATCTGTTTCATGCTGTGATTACATTTTAACAAGAGAAATAGGGCCACACATCACATAATTATACCTCAATATCCCTCTGGAAATCAAACAGGTCAATTCTCTGCCAGTTACTGCCATCTAGAGCCAGAACATTCCATGCCTATTTTGAAGAAAAAGACAGATTGAACAGAAATTGTAATCAAAGAGGAAAACCAGCAGCATTCAAGTTCATAACTTAATCCATCGATTATTTAAACTGACCAGAAATTCTCACTTCCCTATCATTAACCCCTAAAAGGTCTGCTGTATTTCTGATTCATAGTTTATTTCTGCTTTTATAACCTCATGAATGTGTGGGTACAGAGAATACCAGCTACTAATGGATCTTATATTGAGGAGATGAGAAGAAAAAAAAACAAGATGTGATAAATATCATAGTCAAAAGTCATTTTCTGATGAGTTTCTAAAACCAAAATGAGATATTTCAGCTTATGAAAAATTAGTCCCTTACTCCACCCCTCAACTGGGAACAAGATCAGAGAGAAACCAAACATTAGCCAGTACTCAGAATACTGTCAAGCTCAATATATGTATTTGCTGTCCCTAGTCACTTTGGTCAGACTCTAAATTCACATGGTGAATCTGGGACTTAAAAAAGGCATCATTTTTCCATATATTTAAACAGAACCTTAATGCTTTCCCCATTATCAACTTGCTCATTCACACATTTTCCAAAAGATCATACATTTCTCATGCATCTCTTTAACAAGTTAGAGGGAGGCAAGAAAGTTCCCAAGCTATACAATTTTTCAGGATTCAGTGAAAAATAACTCCAGTAAGAATTAACTCATTGTGTATTTTTCTGTATTTTAATCAGAAAGTTTTTTTTGTCTTGTTTTTAAAATTAAGTGTAAAAAAAGTAAAATTTTTAATCTATAAACTTTAATCATCTCTTATTTACTGTAACAAATCCAATCATGGATTCAATATTAAAATTCAAAAAAGGGAACTGTGGATAAATTTCTAAATCCCAGATAACTGTCACATAATCAATACAAAGTATGCTGTGGGCAAGTAGTTATTCTAGAAATCTCCACATTTTCTTAAATGTCTAATAACCCCTGTAAACAACAGCAGAACCTAGTAAGCACTGAATCTACCTCAGATTTGTTTGACCCTTATACTACTTTCTCCAGCATGCAGGGACATGTCTATATTTAGTCTCAGTATAACTGAGACTAATATTTAGCTATGTCGGGTTCTCTTGAGTCTTTTTAAAAACATATCATTAATTAAATACTTCAAGCAGAGAGGGTAACTACTAATGTATCAACTATTCACAATTAATAAAAACAGCAATTAGTGTTCCTTTCTTTTAAGTTTAAAACATAATTAAGAGTGAAGACAAACTTGAAAATGAAAACAATTATATAGTTACTCATATCAACAATAATGAGGCGAGATACTGCAACTAAATTAGATAATTAAATTAGATAATGGTCTAAACTGTGTATCAGTTATTTGACTTTAGCTTCATAAGGAGACAAAGTACAATCTACTCATCTGTACCAGCCATATTTAGAGCTACCTCTCAAGTACCAGGGGCAGAAGGCCATGAACAGAAATCATTAAAACATTACTTGGTGTTTCCAAAACAGCTAATATAAAAGTTTAGTATGGCTTCTGGGATATGACATTAAACTTTACAAGACCAGATTAATTTTTTGCATCAAATGTTGGGATTTCGGTGGTTTTTTTGAATGACAGTTATGAAACTAAGGAGATCTTAGGTCCATCTATATGCATAAACACAATACAAGCATCTATAATTGTATCTGACACATAATTATTTGTTAAATAAACAAGCAAAAAGTCAGTTTAAAAAAGGTAATTGTATGTATTCATTAATTTTATTAATTATTACATATTAATATTACAAATAGAATGGGAATGGCTTATAAAGTAATTGTCCTAGAACAGATTGTATTTTGTCACAACAAAGTCAGCTAACAAAATGGACAATTAAGTATAGTATAGAAACTGACTCTTGAGAACAGAATCTGGTTTGCTCTACACTTAAAAATATTTCTAGCTACTTTCTTTTGAGAACAGAATCTGGAGAAGTAACATGAGAATTAGACATGAGACTTCTATGTATGTGTATATATAAAATGAACCAGGAAAACATAACAAAGCACTATGTTGTCACAAGTGAGCCTAACCTTTTAACTGGCATGTTTCATGTTTTTTCACTGAAATATTACTTGTAGTTAAAAAATTAGAGAATGTACATATAACAGAATCCCACTGTCAAAGTACATGACTTTGGGTATGCCATGGTGAAGTTACATTCTTTGAAACATAACAACACAACTAAATCTGCAGTAAATAGTCTACTACTAATACTCAAGTGTCAGGAAGGGCGAGCCCTGTATTCATGTCAACCATTCTTACCCTGGACACCTGAGCACAGCGACACAAGGTAACAACGTCCAGAAAAGAGAATATCCTAAAAGAGAGGGAGACAAACATTATATGATAAGTTTCTCTTTACTTTTTGCCTATAAGTTACTGGCTATTAACACTCATAGCACAAAAAAGCAGAACTTCTGAACAGAAAAAGCATGAGCAATTTACAAAGATCCTACTGCCCACATGAAACACAGGAGGAGAGAATACCTTTTACTTAATAAATACAGTATATGTAAGTACCATACCAGCTCAGTTATTTACATCAAGTAAAAGCTGTCAAAAATTTTCTGATTAAAAAAAATCCCGAGCCCTTCCTGATGGCACAATGGGTTGAAGCACAGCACTAAAGCCTAGCTGCAGCTGCTTCAGTGCAAGTCTGATCCCTGGCCCAGAAGGTGACCCACATGGTACAGCAGATCTCTCCTGTCTCGCCCATGTACTTCGTCAGTCGGCCTGTTCTTCTCCCCACTCTGTCTCAGGTGAAGCCTCTCACCACCCCAGTACCTCTGTACCCCAGAGGTATGTATAAGTAAATTTTTTTTTTTTTAAATAAAAGCTCTATATCTCCTTAATCTACAAGCTGGAACAGAGAGGTGGTGTTTAGAAGGAGAAACAGCACATTGATACCAAGATGAAGATCACTAATAAAAGGAGGATATCTGATAATAATATGAGCAATAAACAAGAGTTGTATTCTACAAATATACCATTTTGCCAGCATAGCAATTTAGATCATCTCGAGGCACAGCAATTTATATCATCTTGGAAGAAAAGGTGGGTCTTCCATAACTTCTTAATGTTCCTGTTTTATACTGGCAGTGTACACTTACTGATGTGCTTGACGATCCCAAGGTTCTCAGTGTACCAGATCACAAGGGGTTTTAATTTGTAGACTGCAACAGTGCCCCAAAATAAGACTGTTATCCTGTCCTCAAAAGCCTTGAAACTTGCCATGGACTTAGCCCCTTGAGGATAAAAGTCCTTTCAGGAATCCACTTTCAAAAAGGGAGGTTTTATTCATATCGAAGACTTTCTCTGGCAAGTAATTTTCTTCCATAATCAGTTTACTTAGAATTTATGAAATTTTGGAATGCTGTTTTTTTTTTTAAAGATTTGTTTATTTATGCATATAGAACTGGGGTACAGGTGAGAGGTACAGGTGTGGATTCACCATAGACAGATGGGGAAAAGAACAGGTAGACTGGTGAAGTACACTGCTGAGGGGAGCAGCAGGAGAGAGGAAGGTCTGCTGAGCCATGTGGGTTACCTCCCTGGCCAGGGATCAAACTCATGGTGAAGCAGCTGTGGCTAGCTTCGCAGTGCTGCTGCTTTAACCCGTTGCGATACCAGGGAGGGCCCTGGAAAGCTGCTTTACAAGAACACTCACAAATTCACCACTTACTTTCATGTTATGTAACAAATGATTCTTGAATCATTTAAACTATCAAGAGCTAGTCTTAAATTCAACATCATTACTAGATTTCAACATTGTAAACAATTATTTTGGTTTGGTCATGACTATTATGGGACCAAGAGGGATATGTTTCTGTGTCTGTTATTTAATCCAGGTCATTAGAAGTTTCTCCATAACCGAACTAGGCCCTTTTCAAATTTATGGTATAGCCTCATTGCTTTCAATAGAGCAGATCCTTACTAGCTTTCATCATTTTGAGCCTGAACTTCAGGAAAACAGATAGATACATGCATACATCCACCCAGATATGGCAAGTGAATAAAAAACAAAACTACTAGCAATTGTCAGCATTGTAAGGTTCTTAAAAAGAATATGAAATAGAATGTTTATGTATCCTTAGAAAAATGCCTGGTGTAATGTTGGCCCTTGGATATTATATGAGAATTTGGGACTTTGGAAAGTTTCCTACTATCCCCTGATAGATAACATTTCATTTATACTGTCATAAGTTGCTGCTAGAAGAATAAAAAGAATCTTGTGTGACTCCAATGGGATAAAACTCTTGGAAGTTTATGCCCAGTTTCCAGTATTTCACAAGATACACTTCATGTTTGCTAATCTTAGTTTGTATCCTTTCCCTATAATAAATCACAAGCATGAATATGGTTATGTGTTGCATTCTTTGAGTCCTTCTAGTAAATACCAAATCCAGGGGTGGTTTTCAAAGAAAAAAAATCCCAGAAAATTCATCCTTTCCATCTTAGTTTAGAAAGCTAACACCTATCAACTCACATACTTAGTGTATGTTACATCACAATTATGACCCAGCACCTCAAAGAGTTCAAAAGATAATCAGAAAATAAGGTCATATCCTTACAAATAATAACCGTCCTTATTCTGAAACTGCTGTTTTATAGTTAAAAGGGCATGTGTGGGCTCAAGCAGTCTAATCACGCACGTCATTTTTATAGTTATCAATATCCTCAAGAAGGAAACTCTGAGAAAGTCACTGTACAGTAGCCAAGACACAAGAGTCTTTGTCTAATAAACACTGACATCTATTTTTCAAGAAGTACTTCTAAATAAATGCATACGGTTCTTCTCTGAAAGAGAGTACTGTTAATGCTGCTAACTGAATTTCACATTATGCAAACAGCAGATTCCAGCTGGCTAGAGCATTAATAATAAACTCTGTTTCAAAGGAAAGGAGAACCAGTAAGTAAGTTAAAGTAAATCAAAGTTAAGAGGAAACAAGAACACTTACTTATAATTCACTGGTTAACTTGGCTGTAGTTTTGCATTTATAAGGAAACAGTGCGGTCCTACTAACAATTTTTCTCTTTTTAGAGTAACACATTTGGACAGAAATGATGTAATATGTAACCAAACCAAATGTATGATATTTATTAAATAACTAATACACTCTAATTTAGAAGACACAGGCTAAACAATAAAGTGACAGTATTTTCATAGAAAAAAACAAAAATCCTTTTGCCCATACTGATAAAGATAACTAAGTAAGTAAATGGAACTGAAGGAAAACTCTTCCTTATGGTAAAATTTCAATTAATAAATGTAGAAGGAACTATGGTTAGACAATAATTGGCAAAACATTACAGTTACAGCTATAACAGTTAAAATAAACATAGTATCTATGGATGCTAAAATCAATGGATAAGAGTAACACTTACATAGCCTCAACCTATCTACACAACATATCTCCTTATCAATTACAAAGAGAAAAATAATTCTACACTGGAGAAACTTAAACACATTTTCTTAACTAAGTGATTAAAGTTAATATAGCTGAATAAAACATGGAGAAGGGCATGTCCAATTTTTGTGGTATACTTGCCAAGATGTAAAAACTGAATTTAATCATGAGGCAAGATTTGACAAAGCCAAATTGAGGGAAGTTCTATAAAATAACGCATGGATACTCAAAAGTATCAAGATTATGAAAGACATAGGAAGACTAAGAACTTGACCTAGAATAAAAGGAACTAAACAGGCATGAGATAATGGGACACATAAACCCTGGATCCCAAGTCAGACAAAAGATATTCTATGTTTTGGAACAAATTAGGAATCTGAATAAATCCTGATGGTTAGTTAATAGTACTGTATCAATGTTAATTTCCTGATTTTGATAATTATATCACTTAGTTATATAAAATGTTAATATTGTGGAAGCCTGAATTCTTTGTACTGTTTTTCTAACTTTTGGTAAGTAAAAGATCTTCAAAACAAAAAGTTTAAAGTGAAAACTTTTAATAGAAAATTTTCTTCTATTCCTACTACCTAGTTTCCCCGCTTCCAGGGGAATCTGTTGCTTCTAGTCATGAGCTAAATACTTTAAACAAAATTAAAGCATTCTTAAGGAATATTATATTCAATTAATTTCAGCATCATGCCCAGACTGAACTTATTTATACTGATAGTTATATGTTTAGTATAAAGTTAAAGATACTAAGCAAGCCTCTTTCCTATTTGGCTCTTAAGGGTTTAGACAAAATCACTCCTTTATATCCTTAAGTGCATGCACATGTAATATGGTTTACAGTGTCAAACCATTTCCTTCCTTCCCAAAATATCAAGTTCACTCTGTCTCCAATTTGGAAAGGAACTTTTTCCTATCATTTAACGCTGGTCAAGTGGAACACAAACTCCTTCCTCACAGAAATCCTATCATATTTGGTAGTTTCTCTGCTTAGCCTAGACAGGAGCAAATTTAAACTATAATGTACACATGATCAGTTTCAATAAAACACATATAATAAATTAGAATCAAATTGTCATTCATGAAAACGTTGTTGTGGTAAAAATACCTCCAGTGAGGTGGCTCCCTGGTGGCACAAGGAGTAAAGACAAAGCACTATGAAGCCATCCACAGCCACTGCAGCAGTCAGTTCATCCCTCCATCAGGGAGTGACCCACACAGCTCAGCAGACTTCTCCTGTCTTTCCTGCGGCTCCCCTCAGCAGAGTGTTTCAATAGATCTTCCTGTTCTGCTCCCCACTACATCTCTGGCCTACACACCAGCTCTTGTATGCATAAATAAGTAAATCTTAAAAAAAAAAATCTCCAGTGTTCCAACTTAAGAAGTGATGCACATATTATCACCCTTCTATAACATTCCTCTTTTATCCAATCTCCCCAATCATGGCTACTCATTTCCATATCTTAGAGAAGGTACTGTGATTCCTTGCCTTTCTTCCCAAATCCTGTCATGATAATGTATTAAGCTAGTATACAGTTATTTAATTCCTCCCTGTAACCAATGTCCAGGGTGAGGAAGATAGAATTAAGGAGGGAAGATTCACCCTTAAGTATAATACAGGAAAGCTTCAAGTGATTTTTGCCTTTTAATCTTTAAAATAAAGGGCTGTGATCTTCTATAGATTGCATTTTTGTGTAATATTTTGTTGCAAACATAAGTTATTTCATAGACATCAGAATTACTTCAAAAAATGGACACTATAAAAGAAGCTATCTCTTTCACATTACATGAAATAATGTAAGGGGGAAATCATTCATAGATATTTTGGGTGGGGAAAAAATTTTACTAAATTAAAACACTAAAATATCTTGATTCATACTTAGAAAATAGAGTAAAATTGTTTAACAAAATAATGAATAGTTAAAATTTCAAATAATCCAGATCATATTTATGAAAATTAGCAACAAGTCTGAAGGTTTTAGAATAGGCAAACGTAATAAATACCAAACCTCCCACCCCCACAAAATTAATACTCATACTTACCGTAAGAGAAGTTCTTTGGGAAGTTTTTTATTGATTACAGCTTCATCACTATTTGAGAACATCTGCAAAAAACAAAATCATTATGACAAGTTACTTAATATTCTATTATCTTCAACTTATCAGTTTAGAGTTGATCTTTTTTAGAGAGAGGTAAATAACTACAGAGTGTATTACAAGCCAAAATCATATTTTCAAAGACTCAACTGAAAATCATCTTCCAGACATTTTCTTTGTGCCTTATCTTTAGAAAAAAATGAACTAAAAGCAGTCAGGATGACATATTCCAGGGACTATTTTAGTATTTGTGTATTATTTACATTGGCTCTTCATACTATGCCTCATGTTCACTTTACATGTAAGGAAACTGAGTTATGAAAGGTTACTAGCTTAAAAATCCCATCACAATGGAGGGCACATTTTAAAAATCCATTAAAGTAAGGTGATACACAAAATCTAACTCACTTTACTTACTCAAGGAGATGTTCAGAAACCAGGTATAGGGAACATTTTCTTTGAACTATGTATCATTCTAAAAACTGACAGTACTTCATAACCACCACCTTATGCATTCTTGTACATACAGTAATGAAACAACCCACATTGGCTTTTTTTTATAAAAGATTTATTTATTTAGGCCCTCCCTGGTGGCGCAGCGGGTTAAAGCACAGCACTGAGAATCTGAAGCCACTTCCGCATGAGTTCGATTCCCGCCTGCCGCCTGCCCCGGAGGAGACCACATGGCGAGCCAGACCTCTCCTGACCCGCCCGCTGCTCCCCTCAGCAGTGTACTTCGTCGATCTGCCTGTTCTGCTCCCCACTCTGTCTCTGGTGAAGCCTCTCACTGCCCCTGAGCCTCTGGCCTGTACCCCAGTTCTGTATGCACAAATAAATAAATCTTTAAAAAAAAAAAAGATTTATTTATTTATACATACAAGAACTGGGGTACAGGCCAGAGCTGCAAAGGGTGGGGTGGGATGAGAGGACTCACCAAAGACAGAGTGGGGAGCAGTAACAGATAGAGCTACTGAAATATTGTGCCAAGGGGAGCAGCAGGCAGGTCAGGAGAAATCTGCTGACCCATGTGGGTCACCCTCCTGACTGGAGATAGAACTTGTGCTGCAGTGGGGCTTCAAACAGCTTCACAGTGCTGTGCGTTAACCGCTGTGCCCCTACATTGGCTACTTTCAAACAGTTGCCATTTTTCCCACAAAGGGGATCAGAACTATAAACTTTTCTAGAAAACTGCACTGAAAAAGAAAAAAGAAAACACACACACACACAACAAATAGCTATACCCAATATAAAGCAGGATAAAATGACAAATACATCATTAATGCTGAGACAAATAGGTTCAGGCCCATTATTAAATATTATTAAATTATTAAATAAATGTTCAGAGATTCCTTCTGACTTCAAGCAATGAATACTTATTGACCATTCGTAACCATCAGGCACTTTTCTAGGTAATGAGATACAATGACAATAAGACTATCTTTGCAGGTGGGAAAGATGCACGGGACTATGGTGATGACACACGGGTGAATTGGTAGTGGGAAGTAAACAGGTGTTACAACCAAGATGGAAAAAGGCACAAAATGAAGAATGATGTAAAAATAAATTTAAAAAAAAAAAAGAGAGAGAGAGAGAGAGACTACCTTTGCACTTAGGCAGCAGCAGCTCTACAAGAAAGGAGAAATAATACTTCACTAGTTATCAGAGATGAAGGCCCAGATAAATGGGACAAGAGAAACAACTGTTCATTTGCTGATATGTAACCTATGTCTTAAAGAAAGGTCAGAAGGAAATTTGGGGGGGCCCTCACTGGTGGTACAATGGGTTAGGATGCAGCACTGCATGTTAGCCACAGCCGCTTCAATGCAAGTTTGATTCCCCACCTCACAGGTGACCCACATGGCACAGCAGACCTCTCCTGACCCGCCCGCTGCTTCCCTCTGCAGTGTACTTCATCGATCTGCCTGTTCTGTTCCCTACTCTGTCTCTGGAGAATCCTCATTGCACCTTTAGCCTGTACCCCAGTTCTGTATGCATTAATAATTTTTTTTTTAAAAGGACATTTTTTAGGGGAAAAGAAGCTAGGAACATGTAAAAACCTGGAGGCGTACCTGAAGGTCTTAGAATTTCATGCTTTAAAGAATGGAGACACAGACGAGGTAGAGAAGTAATAAATAGAATGTACGTCCCCTTCAATTTCAGGTATTAAAAGAGTAATTATTTAAATTTTTCTAATAATTATAAAAATCTATCTTCTAGCCAAAAGAAAGGCTCTGTAAGAGCATGTCTGCCACCATATTTCCAGAACTGAGCACAGAGCATGAGACACTGCAGGGACTAAACAAGTCTAATTAGTGAACTCTTAAGTGCATGGTAGGATTAGATGGTGAAATTATTATATCAGGCTAGAAATTTGAAATAATTAGAGGAACCTAAAGCAACTAAACTCTGAACTGGTAGCAAGAAGATAAGTAGGAATATACTGAAATCATTTTTAAGTAAAAAATTATGCAAGTCTCTTGGTGATGGGAAACCTGTGGGGATTACAATTGAGATGGAAAAAAAAATGTACAAAATGATGTAAAAATAAACTTATAAAAAAAAATTATTTAAGTCTCTTTACCATTACAGGAAAGACAGTGGAAATGGGAGCGGGGAGGAGGAACTAGAGAAAAGGATCTTTACAAAAGTAAGGATGAAGACTTGATGGTGGAAGTCAGTCATCTACCAAGTTTCTGTATAGATGTAGCAAGCAGATTATCTTATAACAGAAGTAATGCCATATATTTGCCTGATTACTGTATTTTGGGAAATTATATGACACCAAAGAATCATCTGTTTCCCTGTAATTTCTGGAAACCCATTACTGGATATTTAAATAAAAATCCCTCTTCTATACAGCATTCTTTCAAAATGAAGCCATATTTCCTGGGATTCATATTATCTGAAACAACATGGTTTCTAGATGCCACACCATGATGATCACTCTCCAATGGGTATACATACATACTTACAGGAAAACATCCCATAAAAGATTTACAATGTATTTTAAAAGCTGAATAATCAAGGGTGAATGACACAAATAATAATGTCTTGCAAATGTAGACTTTACAGAGTTGGACAGCCAAACAAACAAACACATGTATCATCAGTGTGAGAAAGTTTGGGGAACAAGGGCATCTGTAGCTATTATACAAACATAGCATCTACTAGACCATACCCACATCAAATCCATGAAAAGCAAAAGAATAATTTTTAGATTAGGAATGCTAAATTCTTTATTTTATATATATGCAAAGTACTCTTTGAAATGCTACATATCTGGCCCTCCCTGGTGGTGCAATGGGTTAGGATGCAGCACTGCAAGCTGGCCACAGCTACTTCAGTGCAAGTTCTACCCCCAGCCCCAGAGGTGACCCACAAAGCATGGCAGATCTCTCCTGAGCCACTGGCTGCTCCCCTCAGCATTGTACTTTGTTGATGTGCTTGTTCTGCACCCCACTCAGTCTCCGGTGAAGCCTCTCACTGCCCCAAAACCTCTGGCTTGTGCCCCATTTCTGTATGCATAAAGAAATAAATCTTTCTTTAAAAATGCTACATATCTCATCTAATAGGGCATTTTGTTCACTTGACTATGCACAGTAATAACACAGTAATTAATAAAAATATAAATGGTATGTTGTCCCCATAACTTCTATAATTCTTGATATATAAAAGAAGCAAAAAACACACTCAACAGCTAATTTTGCCCTTACTTCAGCCTTTATAGACTGAATACTACTGTCTCTGTAGTAGCATAAAGGTATAAAGAGAAAAGGCAAAGTCAGTATCCTAGAAGGATTTGGGAGATACAAGACATGTATCTAGGTTTGCATTTCCCTCTCCTTCTGTTTACACATAATTAACACAAGTTTCCAAGACAGGATAAGATCACTGGTTGACAAATTGTGGTCACCTGAACATCAGCATCAAGCAGAACTTGTTAGAAACATGTATTCTCAGGTTACACTCAAGACCTACAGAATTAGAAACTGAAAGGGTCCATGTATCTTAAGCAAGCCCTCCAAGATAGATGCTTCCTTAAATTATAAGAATGGACAGATAAGTAGACTGAGGTTTTCAGGAACCCCCCCCAATTTACAATTCAAACTCCTATAATCAAAGGACCTAACTATTTGAAGTGACATACATGTCAGTGGAGCTCAGACAATAATCCTAAAGGCAGTCCAAAATCATTCGAGATGTTATCTAGGAAATCCATAAGGCATTTGCTCCAGTTTATGATATTTGTAAAACATATTTCACAGAAGCAGATTATATGTTTTAGATATTTCCTATTTCAACTAAATCCAAACTGTATGATATGTGTGCAAAAATATAAAGGATGACAAAGCCAACAGGTGAAGGTTATAATGCATTACAATGAATGATTTTAAATATAATAGCAGTAGAGGGTGTGACTGTTCAAACATTTGACATTCTTAGGTAACCTGGCTTTTTATTAACACAGGGTCACATTGCTATGTATTTTTATTAACTATTCATGAACAATTACAAGGAAGTGATCAGGAGCAAAACAGGGGAGCAACTAGATTTTTTTGTCCTCTACTTCAAGGTAGGACATCAGCACCTAATCAAGCAAACATACTGCAACAGTCCTGTCTTCTAGGAAAAGGACATTCCCTTTTCCTTTTTTTTTTTTTCTTCTTTTTATGGAGGTTAACATTAGTTTAGGACATTTTATTAATAATCAGGTTTTTTAGAGAGTGCCTTGATTTGACATATATTAGCATTTATATTGTTCTGTATACAACTATATTGCTGTTCTAAAAATTAACTGAGAAATACAACTTTGAAGCTACTTACTACAAATACATCATCAAAGAGTCCCTGAATAGTGAGAAGCATTTTTTTTGCTATTATTTTAGCTTTTCTGTTTTGTTTTGTTTTATAAAATATGCACATTCAAATGAGCAACACCTTATTGGTTTTGGGATCAATTTACTAATGTAATAAAGCTAAATGCTCAGCACACAAACAAGACCAGGAA